AAAAAGCGACCGGCGGTGAGAAAGAAAAATATGAGAAAAACTAAGTATTGAGCTTCAGAAAGGACGATGATTGGTTGGCTTGAATTTACGGAGAGAGTCACTGAAATCGTCGGGGACAGCTCATGTTGTTGGTCTATAATTTGGAGAATACTGTTTGTTTCAAAGCTGGGGAATTATATTTCATTGGAATGGTATTTGGGGATATTCCATAGTAGTGGTGAGGAAAGAGTTCCGAACACATCTGGCAACCTTGATATATAATACTCCGTTGCTGGTTGTTTCTAGGAACAAAGCGGTCCCCGGACACCAGTGTTTTTGGCGGGAGATGAAATTGACAAGGAAGAGGTGAGTAATTTGTTCGTTTTTCCCTTTTTAATCATTTTTAAATGCACAAGGCGTTCAGTTTTCTTTTGTGAAATCAAATGCAGTAGCGTTGATAAAAAAAGTTAAAATCAAGATCATTCATGACATACGAATGTAAACTCACAAAATTCAATGCAAACGTAGGATGTTGCATAATGCATTGGGTTTTCAACTGAGAAGGTTTTTCACCAAAAAGAGACGAGTTTCCAACCTTGATTTCCTTTTTGGGGGCTAATGCCATGTTCGTTGGGTTTCTTGTTTATTTTTAATAAATTATAATTGTATTTAAAAACGAAATAAAAACATAGTAATAATAAATTCATTTTGTAAATTGAGTTAAGTTTTATAAATATTGTGTGCTGAAATGCAACAAATGGAAACATAACAGTGGTTTTCAAACTTTTTGCGATTGTGACTTCGTTCGGGTAACAAATTTTGCACGCGCCTCCCCACATTGAAATTAAATTGTTAAAAAAATAACAATAAAATATTTTTCTATGTACACTTTGTTATTATATACATACAGTGTACAAAATAATGCAAGTGATTTGCACTGTTAACTCTTGTAATTAATGTTTGACAAAATAAGGAAAAATAAAAAACGAACATATTGGTAGTTCAGAAAAGTGAAGAATAAACAATAGAACCGCGCTAATCCGAAATCGGATTTTTTTTGCCGAAAGGATTTAAATCTGCATGATGTCGCCATATTGCGGCAGCGACTCCTGCATCTTTGCAAATCGCGATCAAGCTGAAGGATATCATTATTGTTTGATGCCAGAATGGATAGGAATTCTTCAAACACGATACTTGGCCACAGTTTCCTCCACGATGTTTATATTAAGTGTGCATCCGAATTGTCCCAAGAAAAAATAGATTGACGGCAAAACGTCTGTCCGGCTGTGCACAACTCTAGCGCATAAACCGTTCAGCGAATTCTCTCCAAAATTGATATTCCCCCATTGTTCTAGCTGATGTCGCGGCCCCAGGAATTGGAAACCGATATTTTAATTTCGGGGTTTGGGTGGTTACTTTACATGCGCAACGAACGAACGAACGAACGAATGAACAAACAAACGAACGAACAAACAAACGAACGAACGAACAAACAAACAAACGAACGAACGAACAAACAAACGAACCATCAAACAAAAAACGAACGAACAAACGAACAAACAAACGAACGAACGAACGAACGAGCGAGCGAGTTAGCGAGCGAACGAGCGAACGAGCAAGCGAGCAAACAACAAACAACAAACAAAATTGAATACAGAATTTTTGTCTTAGGCAAAGTCTGTTGTACAAAATTAGCTCTTCAAAACGGTCGTGTTCAATTGTTTAAAAAACGAGTTGGTATTTTTTGCGTGTTTCGCGATTGAAATTTTTAAAAAAATCTTAAAAGTCGCTCCAAATTTTGTCTTTTCATTTTCTTCACTTACGTAATACGTGAGGATATAAAATATGGTGGTAGTCATATTTTCGGATATTGCTTGTTTTTTAATTAAAAAAATTAAAACTACAAAATCGAAGATAAGAGATTTGTGCTTCAGACAAAGTCTGTTGCAGAAAATTAGCTCTACAAAAAAAGTCATGTACAATTTTTTTGAAAAAAGAAAAAACGAGTAGCTTTTGCATATTTTGCGATTGTAATTTACAAAAGTAGTAATTATTTTCAAAAAAAAAAAAAAAAAAAAACAGAAATTTTTGGTCTTTATTTTGTTCGTTAATAAGTTTCGTTTTTGTTATTTTAACTACTTTTAACTGTTATTTTAACTACATCTATGATATCTTCGTGAAAATTGGTGAAATTTCACTTTTGTCCACTACATCTAACTCTTGACCTACTATTTCCATAGATTCCCCATTCTCACAAGACTCCGTCCGTTTCTATTTCCTCCGGATTAATTTGACCTTCAAATAAGATAAGTAATGTAAGTAATTTCCTCTCTAAAATTTCCATTTACTTTTTTTATTAATTTTGCTGTTTCATTTCTCAAAATAAACTTATCGCTATCTAACTTATCCGAAACTATAACTGTTTCCCCATAAACATACATCGTTGATTTGAACTAGGTCAACTTATTTATTAAATTTAAACGCTTCCAATTTAAAAATAAAAAAGAAAAATTTTTTACAACAATAATAAGAACAACGGCAACAGAAATTTTACACAAATATTAGTAACTAAAGAATACAATACCAAAAGTCTTTTCAACACGTTCAAATTTCATTTATCCAGTAGCATAACGATATGAGTGCGGGCCCACCCGCTAAACTTTTATTCCGGCCCCCTTTAAAAAATTAATTTGTGTATTTTTTTTATAGAAGAAGCCCCTTTTATCCGGACCCCTATTTTAAACAATATCCACATTATTAGTTAGTTTTCTTTAAAAACACAATACTTCACCGACTCATAATCGTTTTTTAGTTTAATTAACTGAAGCGTTAAACAATGAGGTACAAGACAACATGCAATCAACCCCCTAATTCTAACTGCTGTTTATTGAAAAGCGATGTCGGCAACGATCTCGTCCGATGTTAAGTTTATCACACAAGATGGCAAGTTGGTTTACTGTTTTTCATTAAACAAAATACAATAATCAAACAACCGACAATCAAAAGACAGTTTGTGTGTCGCCTTTATTTATAACAATGGTAAAGTGCTTAGAACCCATAGTGTAAAAATCTGCCTTTATTATATAAATGTATGAAATTAAGACTTTTATAAAACGTAAATGAATTGCTTACTTTTATTAATTTAGAAACAGGATTACATTAGTTTCCGAAGCGGAAAAAAATCGTTTTGGCAGATGTTTTTAATCTTTTATTGTATCAACTATCGCGAAGTACAAGAGGAAGTGTCAAGTAATTAATATTTCTTAAATTGCAAAATCTTCAGCCTAAAAATGCCCCCCCCCCCTCACACACACACACATTGCGGGCCTTGGGCTCGAGGTATGCCACTGCATTTATCATCTTTTTTCTCTACACCTCCGTGAATTTGTCCCGGAAAAAAAATCAAAATTTTGAATTATCTTGACTTTCGTTTGACCACTTTTAATCAACAACTACATTATTTTTACATTTCCGTTAGCAGATATTGGCGAAAAACGTATTAACGTAGTGATACCATAATTTTTTATTAATGGAATGGCAACACTGGTTCACTTACTAATGGTCAGCCTGGTTTCCTGCAGTCAGCAGGTCAGCAGTGAGTTGGTTCCACCGTATCTGAACCGTATTTTCTTAGGCGGCCGGTGTTTATGTGGTTTGTAAACTTTTGGGTTATTCTTGGCAGTTATATTACAGGAGTGTCATTGAATGTTGACGGGAATGTGAGAATATAGTTTAGAGGTGGAAACGGAACTTCTTTGGTAGCAGTTTGTGTATGTGTGTTATGTCTTAAAAGTGCTAATTCGTGCTTATTCATATTCGAGATTATTTTCTTCTATATAGTTTTTGATAAATCGGAAGTTGGCAGTGTCACTGTTCACGCACGCGGAGTTGTGACGTTTCGCTACGCTTGTCCAAGTTGAGGACGAGGCTCGAGCCTTCAGCCCTTGCGTTAACATAAAACATCATTGAGTCTCTCTAACTCATTTAATGCGAATACTCATTTAAAAAATCATTTTGTGAGTAGATGGTCATCAGTGTTAAAGGAACCGTGACACCGCCAACTACCGATCAACCTAGATTTTTACTGTATATACGCTAGCATTTCAAATCAGTTCGTTTAAGTTGCCTCTTTCTGTGTACCTAAGTTAGTTCACGCAGTTTGTCCGGTGCTTTAGATAGTTTTCACAATTGTGATTATTTACTTTGATTTGTAGGGAGTTTTCTCGCTCATTATGGCTGATATCAAGTCATTTTTTCATCAATGGTGTACAAAACAGAAAGTTACTCCACAGTTTGATGTGAGACCAACTGGTATGTGCCATAAAGTTGCAAAATTATTTGTATTTTTTGTGGTATATGTTTCTCACTGTGATATTACTGGACACTTAGGTCCCAAGCATAGACAACGATTTCTGTGTGAAGTGCGTGTGGATGGTTTTGATTACGTTGGAGCCGGTAACTCGACTAACAAGAAGGATGCCCAAAGCAATGCTGCTAGAGATTTTGTTCAGTATTTGGTGAGGCAAGCATTAGTCAACGCTAATGATGTTCCAGGAGAGGTAAAGACAATTCCAGTTATTTGAGGAATGTTATTTGATCATTTGTTTAATATATTTTTGTTTAGTCCCATCAGGATGGTTTGGATTTAAAACCATGTATCGATGCATCTGATGGATCAGCTCAACATGTTTCATTGGGTCTGACGAAACCTGTTTTTCAACCTGGCATGGGTCCTAATGAAATGGGTGAAGCGTATCGCCCTTACCAAAAGGATGGGGACAACAGGCCCTTTACCTATATCGATAGGTTAGCAGAACAACAAGAAGTAGAAAAGGTGAAATTTTTTCTAGTATATGTTTGTTTCAAGTTTTACCAAGATAGAAACTAAAAAAGTTATTGGAGGAATATTTTGATTTAATTATAGTGAATTATGATCTTTGATCAGCTGGAAGTGGTTATCCAATCTGGAGCTGTGTTCAGACATACTTTTTGGTATCGAAGCTCTCAATTGGATAACCACATCCCAGGTGATCAAACACCTAAAGTCACAATAATTAATTCATTAATATCATTTTTTAATGTCCCTTTGCATTGTCTAAACACCGGAGGTTTTCAAACTGCTTCGCGGCTTCGAGGGGCATCACAGTGATTTATTAAAAATGATCTTTAGATTTTATTTACTTTAATCCTTGTGCCATTTAGACCTACAGAATAATTTTGTACTATAATACATTACTAATTGAACATTCAAACTATCATACTTTAATTTTACTAATTAATTGAATCTGCGAAGTCCTTTACCAATGGCCTATTATATCACTTGCTCGTTTGTGTTGAATTTTTATTAGGCCTATATGAACCCTTACATTATTTTAAAACTTGTTACCTGGGGAGCTGTGAGAAGTTTCCTTATGTCAAGGGAGCCGTGGACAAGAATAGGTTGAAAACTCTTGCTATACACTATTATTTCATTATGATTACTTGATTATTTATTTTTTATTTGTTCCCAACCAGTGATTCATAAACCCCTTTGGGTTTACAAGGTGGAGTTCAAGGAAGTAATATTATTATGGTGCAGTTTTATATACTGTTAAGGTTCAGTTTCCTGAAAGATAAATGTAGAGTAAGGTTAAAGGCATAAACTGTATAATATGCAAATTTTAATGTTCAACCGAACTCTTAATTTCTTTGTTTTACCAAACAATTCAAATAAATATTCCATTCACATTTTTTTCAAGTTTGACCTTAGCTAAAATCCAGGCATTATTCTTTGACGTGAAATGTATGATTCTGTTGGAATTTTGTTTTTAGTCTAGATGCTGCAGTAACAAAAAAGTGCATTTGTAACTTGTGATTGGTTTCAGGCTGAAGACTTGGATGTAAATGCTAGCATTCATGGTAATTGGACAGTTGATAATGCTAAATCAAAATTGCATCAATTTATGCAAGTCCATCATATTCAAGCTGATTATAAATATACACCAGTTGGTCCTGATCACACAAGGTAAGTAGAACTCACACATGTCAGGTATATGTTAAACTGAGTGCTGGGTGTGTACCAGTTATTTATTTGTTGTGGAGCAGAATCCAGTGCAACATCATGACACGAAGTTAACCATTTGTTGTGGAGCAGAATGTAGTGCAACGCCATGAAACAAACTGTACATTGGGAGAAGTATGACTCAACCAGTGGAGAACTGGATGAATCATATGTTGTTCTTTTTACTGTCAAAGCTGATTTATTTGATTCTTGGTTTTTAATTTGAGTTTCTGAATCTTATGGGTAGAAGGTATGTCTTCATTTAGATGAATAGCGTGTTGCACAACTTTTAATTTGTGTAATATTATAAAAATGAATAAAATAAAGCAAAAGTACTTTATTAAAGGGTGTTTTGAATAAACTTTAGCCAATTAATATCCTTGTGTTAAAAAAAAAGAAATTCTAAGAAAACTTAAATTGCCCATTTCTCTTGCAGTTTCGTAGAGGAATTTTTAGATAGAAAAGAACTTCTTAAAGTGGGATTGATTCGTCAGTATGAGGAGAGCTGGCCAATGTGACCTCCAGACACAGAATTATTCAATTGTTTAAGATTTATTGAAGGGTGTTTTTTAGTCTCTTAAAATTTTATTTTTAAGAATCAAGTAAGTCCTATTATTGTTTTTATTACAAGAGTGAGAATGGGAAGGATTCACCCATTTCCACTCTTGGTTATTGCTGATATGTGTTGAACAACAATATGGATTACATATATGATTCATTAGTTGGTTGAAAACATGCTTGGTGTGAAATTTATTTAAATCTGTTTGTCATTTGCATTGGATCTTTGGGGGAATTGGTTGTTAATGTTTTTTCCCCTTTACTATTATACAGTTTTCAATGTCGAAAATAGGATTGTTAAGGTAATGGGTTTTAAAATATAATTTTTGAAGGAGGACGGTTTTTATGTTGCAAGAAGAAAAATATTCATTAAAACCTAATTAATATGAAAATAAAGGTTTTGGAGGTCCATGACTTCCAACAGCTGTTATTTTTTGACGAAATTAATTTTCACATGAAAGTTAATACATTGTTATTAAGATTCTGGGAATACTTATACCATTACTTTTTCTATGTGCTGAAATGAATATTTGTGATTAGGGAATTGTGTTTTTATTAGGTCTAGTGGTATCATTTTGTTGTGTAATTGAAAAGTATCAAAGAATAGAAAGGACATCTGGTTCTGTGTATGGATTATATTTAAAGTAACTTTCAGATGCACTGCTTGGGAAACTTTGCTTCTCAATCTTGAGTTTTACTGAAAATTGAGCTCTTACTATCACATGTGACCTATTTCAAAAGATACGTCCATGAGAAAAATCTTAAACTAACACAGAAATGCAAAATTATTTAAAATCGAGAATGTGGCAAATGAAGATTAGGTTAGTGTGAATGTTGCAGAACAGTTATTAAAAATACCAGTGGAATCTCCCATTACACAGATCTACAAAGGCTACTAGGAAAGTTTTGCAATACAGCTTTATTTATTTAATTTTTTCAAAGTAATTTCCGCCACATTCAATGTACCTTTCCATCCTCCGTAACCAATCCTTAAACCAATTCTACCAAGTTTCACTAGGGAGTAAGGCACACTCGTCCCAAGCCCTCAGAAGGTCCTCATTACTGGAAAACCGCATTCCTTTCAGTTTCATTTTCACATGCGGGAACAGTGCAAAGTAACAAGGAGCGAGGCCTGGACTTGAGGGAGGGTGCTCAAGAAGTTTGTCTTGTTGTGGTCAAATATTCTGTGCAGGCTTTGCCGCGGTGGGCTGGAGCGTTTCCGTTCTTGAATTTGGCCGCAGGTTCTTCGACGATTGCTATTGGCAGGCACTGTTCAGCGTACCACTTAGCTGTGACTGTCTTCTGTGTCTCCAAAACAACACACACCACAATTCAACTCGAATTGAAAAATGCAGCTATCATTTTCTTCTTTTCAGATCGAGAGTTTCGGACAGTGACGGGTGTCTCTTCATCTTCAAAAATCCAAACTTTGTTTTGAGTCTTGGTAGGCACGTTATATAGTACAGCCAAGTCTCATTACCTGTCACAATGCTGTTTACATACCCAGATTGACCCTTAGAAAACCTTTTTAGCATCTCCCGGCACCAAGTCGCACGTTGTGTCATCTGCTCTTCAGTCAGTGTGTGTGGCACCCAGAGACAACAAAGTTTCTTCACTTGCAAATGATCATGTAGATTCGAATGAATTGCTGGTGCATTAAGTTTAAGGTATCCTCTTTCTGCCTGTAGGTCACTCGTCTGTCTTCGTCTAGCATTTTCTACACAGCAGCAATGTTTTCCTCCGTAACTGATGTTCGTGGCCTGCTCGCTCACTCAGCATCCTCCAAACTGAAATTTCCCCTTTGGAATTCTCTGTACCACCTGAATATTGTAGTATGATGTGGGCAAACATATTAGAGTGCAAAAGTCATTTCTTCAAAGCACTGGTCTATGTTTAAACCATGAGCGAAGTTATACCACAAAACTGCCCAAATGTCACTTTGAGTCCATGAAGTCATAGCAAGCACTTCAAACTGCCACAGTCAACGAAGAACTGAACCCGCAGACGCGGCACAGCGGCTACTGTGCAAGTATGAACATGTCTCAGCAGCCTGCGACAAGCAGCCTCCTGTGACTTACAGTTGCGTCGTATTGCAAAACTTTCTTAATGCCCTTTATAAGTACATCAGAATCACAGTTGCACGAAATTGTTGGATACTTTGGAGCCCCATTTCAGTAGAGCTTTTTATTTTCATTGATTCATTGGTAATTCTATTTTAAACAAAAGTCTGAAGAAGAGAAATATTATATTAGTTACCAGCAGCAAAAGGATCCTCCAGATATTTTTCAGTGGATTGCTTTAAAAGTGGCTTGTTGAGATTGATGGCATTTATTTAGAATATATAAGTATATTGTAAAATACTGAGTACTTATGTTATTTGAGTTAGAATGAAAAATTTCAAAAATCTAAATGATTTGTGAGATATATTTGCAGTGAATGAGAATTGTGGAAATAAATTTATTGTGAGTTCATTCTGGAGTACATTAATAGATTTTATTTTGGCAAAGAAAGTCATTGAAGTTTCCAGATTGTTAAAACATCATTAGATGACTCATCTTTTACTTCAATGAAATGATTAATTTATTGTTCTGACTACATCTCTCTCAATTCGTTGTATTGTAGTTTGTAGATAGGTATAAATATTTAAGTGGGCTAAAGGGTTTTTCTTCTTGGGGTGCAGATATGTAATAACTGATATCATAGTTGCAAAATATCATGCTATTTCAATGTCATAAAAGATGGCTTTGTGTTCATATGCCTCACATGCATTCTTTAAATCTAGCTTTAACCCTTGTTTCCCGTATGTCAAATGCAGTTTTCACATGTATTTTTTATGGTAAGTAACCAAATGGTGAAGGAAGCATAAAGTACAGTAGACTTTTGAAATCTCTTTGGGAGTTGTAATATTGTGATTAATTGACTTTGTATTTAATGGTCATATTTGTGGGTTACTGCAATAATTGATGTAGTGGAACCTTTATTAAGTGACCACGAATGGTGGCAGGAGTTAAAGGCCATCAGAGGGATGGTTTCTTGAAGTGGGTTTTCTGATATAAGAGTTCTTGATCGTAAATTAATTGAGAGAAGCAAGGGCTAAGCTTGCGATCTGTTCATACTTCAATTTTAGTTAAATTCCTTGGTAGAGTGGTCTTAATAGTGGAAATTAGAAAATTGATATTTAAGGAAGGTCTGGTAATCACTTGAAGACACAAGTACAGTCTGTTTTTTACTGACAGAAGCTGAACATCTCTCATAGATTATGCTGTTAGGAAAGTGGAGTAAACTGGATATTTCACATAAAATAATATGTAAATCAGAAATATAAAAATTGTCATTCTCAAATGACAATTAATGATGTGTTAGAGTATTAAGGTGACTCATGCTTAATAATTCTGTATGACTACTTGAAAAGGATTTATTTGAGTGTCAGGAAAATCACTTGGGTTTCAGAGATTCTCTGTACTGACTAACTGCAACGTGTATTTTCTTCCATGAAGCTTACTTATTAAAATCATGTTGCTTATAATTGCAAAATAGTTTGGTTATGAAAAGTTGTCTTTATAGATGTTCAAAAGAACAGTCACACATTTTTTGAAATTCTTAATTTGCAATCCCATTTTACCTTCTTTCTCACTCCTTTTACTTTGTTATATATGTAGTTTAGTAATGTAATGCTACAAACAGGATGTACATTTTTTTACAGAAATACACAATTTTATGGATCCTCATACCAAAAAAATGGATTTTTATTGCTCCTACACATAGGAAATTACTTTCCCATTTAAGTAGTGTACTCAGAACCCTTAATTAAAGCGTCCTTAAATAATATATTTAAAATAATATATATATATATATATATATATATATATATATATATATATATATATATATATATTATTTAAAATGTATGTGCCTATCGGTAAACAACATTAGTGCTTAAATTATTTTCACAAAAGCGAGAATATTCCGAAGTGTATGTAAAAATATGAATAGGTATGTGTCGTGTGTTCACAACATAATGACAAATTTTCTCTTTCAGGAAACTGACAAAAGCTCCAGAACATACTCTTTGAAATTCTGGAGGATATAGGTGGCCAGGACTTGTAGATGATATGTGCTTTGACCTTTGAACCAGAATTTTAGCTTGCATTTTTTCTTGGCATGGTGCACAAATGTTCTCCCTTTCTTTCTTGACACTCCCAGCATTTTACCAATGGAGTTATTTATATGAAGAATCTCTCATATTTGACCTTGGGATATCCTACCCTTCTCCCTTTTAAATTTCTTGCCTTTGTAAGTAGAGAATAAATTGTAATAGTGCCCTGGAAATCTGCAATTTCCACGTTGCTGGGTCCTGGCAACAAAAAAGTGAATCTCAAGTGAAAGTAAATTTTATTCCTATGAATCGTAAATTACTTCTTGTAACATGTGTAGTCAGAATCTGTTTTTTGGGACCTTGATACCAGAAAATCAATTGACGGCAAAATGTCTGTTCATTGAACTGTTCGTCCACCTCTGTCTGTCTCCATCAGTCTCATTTTGTCAGTCCGCCTGTCTGTTTGTGTGTCTGTGGTCTACACTAGTGCCTAAATCGTTCAGATGAATTTCTCAAAAATTGATATTGTCAGATCAATCTGAAAAAATCAAGACCCAGTGTAATATTGATATTTTGATTTTCGGGGTACAGACTTTAGGACATTTTCAAAATTTTTTTTAACCCCTCCAAATTTTTTTTAAAATTTAACATTGTAGTCTTTTAGTTTATTGAGTATAGACATTTTTTCTTTATGAAATCTGTAAATCAATGACAGGTTTAAGAAAAAGAGTATACTCAATTTTTGAAAATATAGTAGTAGTATAATAGACCTAATGTAGTAGTATTGTCTAATTTTGAATAAAATAAAGGCAATTTTTCAACTATTATTTTCTCTAAAACTGCTCAAAATTTACTTTTGGTTGTTTAATGAATGTTAAGAAAAAATAACGTTTTTAAGAAAGAGGTGTTTAGCCGTTGCGGTAAATGCAAAATTTGAAGCTCTTTTCCATAGAAAACTTTTGAGTAGCCGTAAAACTGTATTGGAAATCATTTCAAGCACTTCCACTCCCAAATGCCTACAAAAATGGTTACAAATCACTGCCAATGTGCAAATTAACTGTGTGAGATATTTTTTAAAAAATATTTCATTTGTGTAATTTTTCAAAAAACAAAAGAATACAGCAAAATTAATTTTATGTAAACTTAAACAGTGCTCTATCCGTTCAAAAAGTTTGAAGAAGAAAATATGGTGCCATTTTTGGCATTTTGTTGAGCTAATTTTTACAGCAACCTTTTGAAGTTTGGGGAAACTTTATATGGCATTATAAAGCTCATATACTCATAAATGCAATATAATGAACACACATGTAGTAGTATTGTATATATATTAATAATCATTAATTTGTCAATTTTTTAAAATTTTTCCAAAAAAAGAATTGTGCAGGATGTTGTCATCATCTTAAGAGTACATTTAGCACGAAACCTGCCAAACCTTTAAAATAACAATTTTGAGCTGTTTTTTTTGTTGTTGAGAAAATCTTGTTTTTTAAAATTGCATGAAAAACCACTAAAATTTTCAAAAAAATGTACAGGACCTTAATGAAAGAATTAACTATGGAGAAAAAAAAACAGGGACAGATATTTTAAAAAAGAACAACTTTTTCTGTCCGACCCCACAAAGTATATTTCTGTTGAAATCTGGAAATAGATATTCTCTTTACTGCTGTCTTGATTTACTTTACTAGATTTAGCTTTCTCTATACTACATATATTACTTTGTATGTGTACATAGACGAGAAAGTACAGAAAGGCCATGTTGATTTTCTTGGGGCCGGGGGGAGTAGGTTTTGTGTAAATTTTTCTGTAATTCAAAGGCAGCTCCAATTTTATTATTATTATATTTATTATTATTATTATATTTATTATTATTATTATTTTCCCCCCAAATATTAATAGAGCAAAGGATGTTTTGAAGAATGACACAGGTCTTATTTTTGATGAACTTTTGAATTTTCAAAAATTCCAAAAGTTAGAAATAACAAAGTGCAATGTTGTAGCCCCTCAGGTTTCCCTTGAATTCTCTACTTCTACTCTACACAGTTATAGGACTTCATTTTACATTAGGTATTGTATGTATGTGAATCAGTGTGTACTACTCATAATCATTTTAAATATTACAATAATATAATTAGTGTATACTCATTTATTTGCAATTTTACTCATTTGTTTGTTCCTCTTATGATTTTTGTTTGTACCTAACCATGTCCTAGTCCCCCAAGTGATGGCTATGAGAGGTTCTACCATATCTTGTTTACAAGATTGTATTGTTGGAAAGAACAAATTAAAAACGAAATAATGAAAACTATAATGAAGGGATGTATTAAAATTGGGGATGAAGTGATTTGGAGGGAGAAAAAAAGGTGGGCAAATAGTGATAATATTTAAAATAGGAAAACACATTATTGGACGAAGTAATAGGTTGTTTTGGGGATAATGGATTAGGAACAACTTACGCAAATTGTTTTTGGGGACAATAAACTTGATTCTGAAGCACATCAGTTTTTAATAGGGTGGTCACTTTAATAGTTCAATCTGTAGGTACTGAATACTGTCCTGGAAATGGAAAATTGTCATAAACATTTTTTTCTTAAAACTATTAATTCCACATGTTTAATGTACCCAGGCTGTAGTTACCCCCCTCCCAATGTTTGAACTCCTAGACCCCGTGCTAACTCCATGAGGACTGAATAACCGTTTTTTTCCTGACTTTTTTCATGTTTGTTCTATTTCTTTAGCTTTAAGTCCTGTAGGAAAATTATTTTATTCAATTTTAAAAGAGGATAAAATTTTATTCAACTTTTGTATAAATCATTTTTTTAAAACCAAATACATCAACAGCTTTTCAAAAAAATGTTATTTTTTCATTTCTTCAATATGGGTGTAAAAATACACTATGATACCATATGATTAACATAAATATAATAATTATTATAAGAATTACTATTATTTATCTCACTGTTGGTGTAAACATTGCCTCACAAATGTACCCATTGTTGAAAATATGAATATACAAAACATTTCACACATTTTGGAGAAATGAAAAATTAGTGTTTTATGAAAAGCAGTAGCTTGGTTGGTAATTGGTTTTGAAAAAACAAAATTTGAAAAAAACAAGAATTTTTTGAAAATACAAAACCTGTAAGAAATTTTATATTCTTTAAAACTGAAATTAATCATTTTTTCACAGGACTTACGGTTAGTGTCTTAGTGACACCCCCCCCAAAGAAAAATATTTTTTTAGACCTACCAGATTTAGCACAGCATCTGGGAGGTCAAAAACTTGGAGTTTTAACTAAAGCCTGTCTACATACAGCATACCTAGAGAAAAAGTTTTTATGACCTTTCTCCAGGTAAAATGTACCTACTGACAATAATATAATATGGAGTCATCATTTTACTGAGTTCTACTGTATATTGTATTTAATAAAATGTAAATGAGTTGTGTGTGAATATATTTTTTTATTGTTTATGATTGTTGGTGTAGTGTCTTGCCAGACACAGTTTATTCCTAAGAAACGAGTACAGCATCTGGAATTGAGATATTGTTTCATGGTGTTGCACTAGCATTTTGCTTTGGTGTTGCGACTTCTCAGAGGAGTTCTTGAAGGTATTAACTAAGCAGGTTAGTACTAGAGATTTGTGCAAATTATATAAATGTAATTGAGATTTGTTATAATTGCTGCTCATAAGTTACATTACAATTCTCGTTCCAACCAAATGTTTTTTAATATATATTTAATCATTTATATTACATTTCAATTGTTTACCTTGGTTTTCAGGAGCTTTGTGGCTGAAATGAGCTTTTACGTAAAACAGTTGGGAAGAAGTAAGTTTTCTAGAAATTAATCAGTTAATATTTTTATTGTATATTTTAAAGAAAATAGCCTGTTGATTGCTAATAAAAAAAAATTACTCTTTGCATTTTGTGAAATAGTTAATTACATTTTTCGTTAACATAATGTTCTCAATTTCAGCTATTACTGGAAGAGAGACAGGTTCTAACAAGCAGTCAGCTTCAAAAAGCTGTGCTTTATCGCTTGTACGCCAGCTATTTCATTTGGGAGTGATTGAAGCTTTCAGTGGAACTTTGAAAAAAAATAAAGAATCAGAACAAATGAAACCCTATGATGTAGCAATTAGCCCAACGTTGCAACAGGAAATATCAGATGTTTTAGACAGTCTCAATGTTAAGCCTGTACCTATTGTGAGTTTTTTAAAGATATTTATTCATTTACAAATATAATTTCAAATACAAGACTCACGGAAGAATTATAACTCCTCTTTATTTTTTAAGCCTAATGATCCTGCTGGACCTGTGTCACTTGTTACCACCCATGTCTTAGAAGAATTCATTGCTGTTAAACCCCAACCAGCTGGTGTTGTTCCTTGGTCACCACCACAGCCAAATTGGAATCCTTGGACAAGCTGTAATATTGATGAAGGACCACTTGCCACTGTAAGTTTTCTATACATATCATTTTTTTTATTTTGTACTTCTCTTGTTGTTGTCTTGTCTTTTTGTTTTTACTTTTCTTTCTGATGTGTTAAAGTAGTCTATTCCTCACCTTCCCTTTTCCTCATTTTCTTTCCTCTGGGCCTTCTCCTCTCTCCCTTCCTTGCTTTTTACTTTCATCATCTAATATTACCTTCTCCCTTTTCTTTTATTCTTTCTCGACTAATTCCCTTATTTAAAATGCTTATGACTTAATTTACACTATGGAAATGTCTTGGCAAGTGTGTTCTAATACTTATTTATGTATTTTTTAATTTATTTAAGATCCTTCCCTTTACAGTATGTTATAAAAAAATACACATTTTTTTATGAAGTATGGCACAAAGAAGATACAAAACTCAAAGTTCAAAAAATATTTCAAAAATAATTAATAAATCTAAAGTAACTAATAAATCAAATGTAATCTATTGCTCTTGTAGACAAGATTCCAAATCAATCTTGTGAATTATAATTTCACAGCTATAATCAACTGGGAAGGGACAGGTCAGCATGAGGTGTTGCTGGTTTAGCTATATTAGTTTTGGTCTTCCACAGTCCAGAGCAGACTCTATTGTGTTCATCTCTTTGTTTGTCGATGTTTCACCATCAAATATAATTAATAATAATAATAATAATAATAATAATAATAATAATAATAATAATAACGACAATAACAACAACAACTACAACTACTAAAAATAGTTTTATCATTGGTTATTTTCTTTGTTTAAAGCATCGTTTGGTATCTTTTACTTTGAGGTTTTAGGATATTTGCCCAGAAGTTCCCTGAACATTTCAGAATAGTTTATTTAAATCCTTTTATGTGTTGATTAACATATAATGTACATTTCTTTTTATCAGGCATCAATGGATTCTATATCTAATGATTTGGCCAATAATTTTCGTGAAAGAATGCAAAATGACAAAATACTACAAAGTATGGTTAAGGAAAGGCAATCATTACCAGTTTCAACCATGAAAGGTCAGATAATGGAAGCCATTAATGACAACCCTGTAGTTATTATCAGAGGAAATACTGGCTGTGGAAAAACAACACAAGTAAGTTATTTGCCTACATTTATTAGAACCTTAAAAATGGAATGCATGATTTATGCTAAAATGTTGTTATATATTATGTACTAATGGTCTATATATCTGTGTGTATGTGTAGGTGTGTATAATTGTTTACATATTTATAAATATATAACTAAATGTGTTAAAATATAATTTTAAATTTATTTAATAATTATAAATTTACTAAATGTCTTATTTTTAGACTATTGAATTAGTGATGAGAATGTTAGAGTAATTGATGAAATAGTATTTTCTTGTTTCTTAATCTCATCACCATGTTTTTTGTCACTACCCTCATCATATTCACTTATCAATGTTTCTTTTTGTTTGGTGGTCCTTCCATGTTGTGAAACATTCTATTTTGGCCCTTCTTGAAAAGTTTTAGGACTAAATTTTGCATTGTTCATAGTCTTTCATCAGAGGCCATCTATGAACATTCCATTCTGTCGCCAGATTTTCTATCTGTCCTGCACTTGCTGATAGCCTCTATTTCCATTCAGAACGCAGATTAGTATTTGCTGGGCGTCGAAACCCGCATCGTATAACAATCTTTCTGCATTCATTTTCACATTTCGTTTTATTTGATACATTGACATTCAGTTAGACTCTCTGTTTTCTGTGCCATTTGAAAATATCGGAATGAATTTCTTGACAAATTCACGGTGGATGCTGAGAAAACAAATGCAAATATAATTATGTATTGTTACATGCTTTTTTTTTTTTTGTATATATGTATACATGTGTGTGTGTGTGTGTGTGTGTGTGTGTATATATATATATATATATATNNNTATATATATATATTCGTATATTTAATTGTGGTTAATAGAAAGGATTATATTTTAGGTGTTCTCTAAAATAATAATCCATCACCAACAACAGAGTTTCAAAATATTCAGAATACAGATTATATTGGGTTACTTTTTATACAATTTTTCAATTTAAAACAATGTTTAAGACTCTTAATTTAAAGTTGATAAAAGAAAATATAAATCAAGATTTAACTAATTTAGGTAGGTTGACTTAATCAAATAATTTTTTTATTTTAATTTTAATTTGAATTTATTTAAATCTTAATCAAATATTTTTAAATTTGAAATTGAAAAATATTAAAACAGTAATAATCATTTTTAAAGTGTCAAAATGATCTAGGTTAAAAAATAATAATAAAAATAGATTTTAAAAAAATTGTTCCATAATTGATAAATTGATAAATAGGTTTACAAATGAAGGAAAATTTTTGGGCCAGAGACAACAAAGGCGTTTTCTTGAGTATTTTCTCATGCTGAATTCGAATCCGTAACTAGTTTGCAGCTGTCAGGTCTGGATCCTTTGATTTCTTGTGTTGACAGTATTGTGATCTCACGACTGCTGATCGCTTCACTTACGGTGTCTGAAAAATGTCAAGAAAGTTATGTAAAATCAGTGCAGAATATGTTTATTGTTTGCGGCATTTGGAAAAAAGGACAGTCATAACAAATTTTGTCAAGAATATGTATCTGCACTACATAGGATTCAGTATCAATGACTCAGAAAAGCCAGGGAACTGAAATTGTTCTACAACGGTGTTGAACTAAGCCGTACAAATTGTCAACAGGTGAGAGAAATTCCATTTTCTTAGTAGATGCTATGAAGAGAACTTCAGAACCACACGAACGATACTTACTTTTGCTTGATGAACATGGTCGGTATAAATTCCATAACCTTTAGAAATTGAAGTATCCTGGAGTTTCATCAGTGCCGAAGCCAGCGGGCTGCAAAGTGTCTGTGCTACACCTCTTGTTGATCCAACTTGTGTTACTTCCATCTTTACACATTAAACTTGGTCTTATAAAAATATTCATGAAGGCCCATGACAAAAAAGGATGGGTGTCCAGTGTCTGATAAAGCTCTTTGCCAAAATATCCTACACCAAAATCAACGGAGTCTGACAGACCGTATATTAAGACTGATGATTGAAGACAAGTTTACTAAATGTTTATCAGTCTCAGAAGCATCAACTTAGGAGTCATTCCAGAATGTTGTTCGAAAGTTCCTTGGTAATAGAAAGAGTGATGCCTACAAGCCTATTGTTACAAATCTTTTGAAGAATTACCACAAAATGGGTGTTCCAATGTTGTTGAAGATCTATTTTCTTCATGTAAGAGCGTAGGCTTCCGCGGCCGGAATCAATATTTATTTGGCTGTTCGAGTGACGCCGCGTCCATGGCGAAGGTGCCGACGTTTCGGTCGCCATTCTGCGACCTTCCTAAGGGCGTAATGCGCGTTTTTCCCGCCTTAGGCGCCCATTTTAGATTTTGCGTTCCGATTTTGATTTGCTTGTGCGGCGTGAAACGCTTTGTATGTTGGTGTTAGCGGCGAGAGATTGCCTGAGACTTTTCCGCTGAGAAAGACAAGTGGCTTTCTTGTGCCCACTTCAGTCAGGTTCATCTGTTTTTGTAGTGTTTTCAGCAAATTATTCAGGTTCATTCCTCTTGCTAGGACTGCTATGTCGTCAGCATACAGGAATAGCCTAATCCGTGGTATCTGTGGTATGTCATTGACATAAAGCGAGAACAGTAGCGGCGAGAGCACGGAGCCTTGGGGGACTCCGGCAAAAATCCCGCGCTTTGAGGATTTCGCTTTTCCCGCTTTGACCACGAAGGTGCGGTTTGTGAGAAAGGTTGCAATCATATCCGTTACATCTTTAGGGAGGCTTTGTCTTAGTTTGGAAAGAAGTGTATTGTGTGGCACTTTGTCGAAGGCTTGTACCATGTCGAGGTATACGACTGGTACATCCTGTGAGTATGAAGTCAGCAGAGATCTGCTGGGCCATACATAGTGCCTGCAGTGAGGCTGAATGTCCCGGTCGGAAGGCAAATTGCTCATATCGTATAAGGTTTTGTGAGATGATAGTTGGTTGGATTCGCGCAAAGATTAGCCTTTCGAAAACTTTCCTCATGATTGGGAGCAGGCTGATAGGCCTATGGCTCGTCGCGAGGGTAAGATCCTTACCAGGTTTCGGGAGCATTGAAATATTCACGTGTTTCCAGCTTTCCGGGAAAGTAGTATGATGCAGCTGTTGTAAAGGCGTGTTAGAACAGAACTAATGATCTGAAGCGCTTCTTTCAGGATTGGGGGATCGATCTGGTCGGGGCCCAGTGCCTTGCGACTGCGCATGCTTGAGATAGTTTGTGTGATTTCTTGGATAGTGCAGTGTGTGAATATTGTGGTGTTGCTTTCCTCTGCATTTTCCTCGTCGTCGTCTGTTTGCGAGGTGTGGTTTGTGAATCTTTCTTCGAGCATGTCTGCGAAGAATTCCGCCTTAGCTTGGTCGGAGAAAAGGTAAGTTGGTTTGTGTATTTGTGGGTTGTGGGACCCACTGCTTGGGACAGCTGAAGGAGCGTATGCTGCCTACAGCGAAGGTGATAGGAATATGATCAGAAAGGGAAAAGGGGATTGGTTTTGGCGTTGTTACCCGGATGTTTCCGGCCGTGACCGTCAGGTCTAGGATTTCGGGTCTTTCCCTGAGGTTTGTTGGAAAACGGGTAGGGGTAAAAGGTGGGACGAGATTCACTGAGTGGTGTGATAACAGATAGTAAGGTTCCGTTCCTGTTAGTGGTGTTCATTGCCATTCTTCGCACTTGGCGTTCAGATCGCCCGCCAGGACCGTGCGAGGTGCTAGGGAGAGCACTGTGTCAAAATCTTGCTCTATGAGAGGTCTGTTGGGTGCGAGGTATGCAGATACTAGAGCTACTTCGCCCTCCGCCGAGTTCGCCACGATTGCTACAGCTTCGAGGCGCGCTAGACGGGAGAGGGTTGCCAATCGGTGGGGTATTGAGCGACGTATGGCAATCTCTACGCTGCCCCCGCGATGACTACCGTCGCGGTCGGTGCGGTATATTGCCATGTCGCGCAGCTCCATATGATCTGAGCTTTTGAGTTTAGTTTCCTGTAGTAACATAACGTCGTGGAATGTACTGCGCACGAGTTTAAATCTGGCTCAGTTTCTCCCCTACCCGAGTGCCGGTTGGGCGAGTGGTCGGCCAAATTCTGAGAGTGCACCGGCCAATCAGGGGCGGCCTCCCCGCGGGGTGAGAGTAGGCGCTCCGTCCGTAATCGGACGTTGCGGAGCAGCTAGGACCGTGTCCGATCGAGATCGGACGTCCTGGTAAAATAGGAGTTTCCAGGCATCGTGTAGACATGCCTTGGTCAGCATTCAAGTTATAGGTGTGTTTGATAATTTCCACCGCCTCTTTTACCCTCCTCGTGCCCCAGAAGCCTCTGGCTAAGAGGCGTGTGTCATCAAAAAGAATAGCGTGACTAGTTTTCCATGCGTGCAGGGCTACGGCCGATTTATTCGTATTATTGTATTTATATATTGTATGTAATTACAAATATGTTTCCGGAATCGTTACTCCACGGTACGTCCCGTCTGACCAATGTAACTATGGCCGCAGCTGCATAGGATCTCGTATACCCCCGATGACATAGGGGAGGGACGCGATCTTTCGCGCCTACAAGCTTTTGCCCGAGTTTTTCCTGGGCTTTGTAGGCCGTCTTTATATCGAAGCGGCTCAGAAGCTTGCCAGTCTTATCCGTGACACCTCGTATATATGGCAGAGTGGCTAATTTTTGGTTGGTATCGTCTCTAGATATGGTGATATCAGCAGTTTTGGCAGAGGTCGTAGCCTGCCGTACCGCTTGGTTGGCAGCGTTAGCGCCTGGTTAGCGCTGTATCCGTTGGCTCGAAATGTAGTCTTTAGGAGCTCCATTTCAGTCCAACGATTCTTTATCACACACTCTAGTTGCTCCGATGTCCAGAGTTTTCAAAACCCCCGTTAGTTGCCGGGTGATGATGAAAGCCGGCGTGTAGATAACTGTTTGTGTGGGTGGGTTTCCGGTAAACACTGTGTCTTAGTCTGCCGTTCACTTTCCGACTCACCAGCACGTCGAGGAAAGGCAATTTTCCCTCATTTTCCACCTCCATCGTTAACTTAATCTTGGGGGGGGGGGTATTATTAAGGTGCTGGAGAAAGTGGGCTAAGGTGTGAGGACCGTGGGGCACACTAGTGTATCGTCCACATACCGGAGCCATAAGGTTGGTTTTAGAGGGGCATTCTCCAGGGCTTCCCTTTCGATGGCCTCCATGAAAAGGTTAGTCACAACCGGAGAGAGGGGAGCCCATGGACGCTCCTTCAACTTGAGCTCACGGTACTGGAAGGAAGTGGACGTGAGACAGAACTCAGCTAAGTCGGCCCATTCCGGAGTGAGCCCACGGGAGCAAAGTTTACTGCGAATGAAAGTGCGTTACAAACGAAGCTGACGATGTCCGAGTCATTTACACGATGCTCCTTAAGTATGTCAATAAGGTGGGCCGAATTCCTAACAGCTGACTTGATGTCAGTCAAAGGCTGCAATTTGTCGGCCACATAGCGGGCGAGAGGGTTGGGGAGGCCGGAACTCGGATAGAGGAGAAACTGAGCTAGATTTAAACTCGTGCCCAGTACATCTCCGCGTATTACGCCCTGAGGAAGGTCGCAAAATGGCGACCTTCGCCACCTTCGCCATGGACGCGGCGTCACCCGGACAGCCAAGTAGATACTATTTTCTTCATTCCCGTCTGAGTATCATCTCTAACAACTTGGGTGAAACTAGCGATGAACAAGGAGGATCACTGCAGCAAGATTTTCAAAGAATCAAATATTACAAGGGTTTTTGGAATGGAATGCTGTGTCTCATACGTGAGATGAATCTAAAAAATTGCAAACGAAGCTGTTCCACTGCACTTCATTTCTGATTTTTTAGGTTATTTCAAATAAAGTATCGATTTTTTGTTGAAAATTGAAAAATATGGGTCATTCATTTATCTAAGGAACCTGGCGTGATAGTCAAAAACGGACTGCGGATTCGTAGTCAACAACAAAAGTTCCCTTAAAAACTGCTTTCACCTCTGGTCCAAAATTGTGTAATCCTTGGTATTTTAAAATGCAATTTTAGGAAGGACTCCAAATTTCAAGTTGGTAGTGTTACAATATATAATAGCTTTGTTGTTATTGTTATTTAGGATATTTTTACTTGTTAAAAGGAAAAAAACTTCACCCTATGTTCTGCATATATATGTTAATTAACAAAGAAATTTTTGTGATAGGTATGCCAGTATATCTTGGATGACTACATACAGTCAGGGCAAGGTGCATATTGCAATATAGTTGTTACCCAGCCACGCCGTATTTCAGCTGTATCTGTTGCTGACAGAGTTGCAAATGAACGAGGTGAACAACTGGGATTGAGTATTGGATACAGTGTCCGTTTTGAATCATGTCTACCTCGTCCATACGGAGGTGTCTTATTCTGTACTGTAGGTAAGTTATTAGTAGTCTTGCCTAAGCAACATGGAACACCTACAAACTTATTATTTTTATCATTATTATTAATATAGGAAATATATTAAAAGTGAAAAAGAAAAAGAAGGGGAAAAAATTAGAGAATGATATACAAGATACTAGGCACAACATAAAAACAGAAAGTTCAAGAGTTATCTCTTTAGCCTGTTTCTTATGGCCATTTTGTTTGATTTTATTTATAAATCATTTGTTAATTTAGATAAGAATTTGATTTTCTTTTGCTTGTTGATTTGTCACTAAGTTTTCAATATGTTAATTATGCATAACTTATGTCTCATTTTTGCCTTTTGTTAGTTTAATTTGATGATTTTGATTTCTTTTTACCTTTTGAGTACTGTCATTACAAGATTTTATTTTGTTAATTATGTACAGCTAAATCTTCATTTTTAGTGTTAACTGTGTATAAAGTAACACACCCCTCTCTGACAAGTACAAAAAGTACTAGAGAGGGTTTGGAGTGTACTGGATAAACGAATTTTGATAAGATATTTTTGCTAATAGGTTAGACACAATGTAATGTAATCAAGGAAAATTAGTATTCTTTCTGCTTGATTTGTTGTTTTTATGCTGATGGTTTTTGTTGTTTTAAATTTTTTATATGTTAAGGTAGTGAAAGCGAGATAATTCCTAGTAGATAGAGAGTACGTATTACATTCAAAAATATTTATTTGCAAGATAAGTGGGTATTGTGAGATTCATAAACAAAAAAGGGACCTTTATACTGAGTTTTATTTAATTATTAGAATTAATTTTGTTTAATAGTTGTAAAATAAAATATTTTAATACCACAAAAAGAGTTACTGTTGACAATTCGTAACTAGTACCAACAGATCACGTGGCCATGGAATAAAAAGTAGAAGCATAAGATTGAACATAAAAAAGCACCATTTCACAATTATTACAAGCAAAATAATTAAAAGTAAAATTATAGACATATACCTGTATATTTGTTTACAGTGATCACAAATAATGGCATTAATTTCCGTGTCTTGGGTTATAAAGTCTTTAGTAAATTGGGCTACGCTATAATGTCCTTGAGATTGGCAAAACTGCTCAGGGCTTGTGCTTCTTCAAAGTTTTGTTGTTTTGAATCACTTTGAATTCTGTTCGTTGCCTGGTCAGTACACAGTAAATATCACAATCTGAGCAAATTGGCGGAAGATTTCTTTCCAAAGCGGAATTTGAGAGATAATGAAATAATTCCCCCAATATCATGAGAACAGTGACATAATAAAGAATTTTGAAATATTTTTTTTTTTTGGTTTGTTTCTCTAATTTTTATTTCTTGAATTACCTGACCCAATGGTAGGATAAACCTTAGATTATTTGTTTGCTTAAAAAAAAGATCAGCAGTTTGGTTCTCTCCAACATTGTATAAAGCTTTATATTGTAAGTTGACAGAAATTGTAATCCTTGACTCCTACTGCTCCCTATTGTCCTTCTTATCCCAATTTTTTCTTCTTCTATTATTCCCCTATTTCATTTTTGCCTAGTTAATTAAATTGCATGTTTTAATAGTTTTAATTGAAATTTTAAAACTATTTTTGCAATTGCAGTGTGCCATATTATTTTCAGCGGTGCAATTACGAAATTCATAGTAACTACTTGCTGGTTTTCAGTATAATTTTATATATTATTATATTGATTTAGATGCAGATTATTGTGTAAAGAACTTGTCAAACTAAAACTGATAAAATGAAATTAGTGCATCATATAATTCTGAGTGCCATATTATTGAGACCTTCAATAATAAAATTATAACATTGTTGGAGATAATATCTTCAGAAGAGAATTCCGAATGGCATGGTCTTTTGCAATCATTTGTCGTGATTTTGCACTCAAAATGAAAAGATGATTAATGTTTTGAAAATTATGTGAGAACCATTCAAAATGCATTAATACTGTAAAAACTAAAAAACTACTATTAAAACTAAAAAACTAATTACAAATAAATCTAAAGAAACTCTAATTATGACAGAATAAATCATTGTTCCAATACAGATGTAAATTAACAAATTGCTTACAAAATGGAAATTGCTTTTTAAAATTCTCATTTAAGAATACATGTTTGGTTTCTTATTGTTCCATTCAATTCATTTTTAAAATCAAACATTGTACTTCAGTAAACTATTTGATTTATGATTGAGATAAAAACATTTTATGAAGTTTTTAATATTTATTTTAAAAAATCCGGGAATGGGTATGGGAGTCCTAAACCTTATTTTGCTAAGAGGGAAATCCATCTTTCCGTTCACCTGTACCTTGAAAAGTTGATAGTAACAACAGCAAAACAATATTTTATCATTGCAACACATTTGAAGCCACTACAAATTAAATTTCGTTTTGAATTGAATGTCCACTCAGTAGTTCTACATATTGAAATGCTGATCTATGCTAAAGATTGCTGCATTGAGTCCTGTGTAAGCAAATGTGGTGCAGAAGGCTATTACAATCCACTGTGTATCTCCATAATAAAAAATAGAACATGAATAATTTTTGAATAATTGAATAAATAATCATTGTTCAGGAGCAAAAAAACTGACATATGGCACAATACAAAATAATAATACTGTACTGAATGTTTACAAAATTCTATAAACTCCCAAGATCACCCATTTTCTCATAGGGAGTGGAATCAAAGTAATTCATTGGGAATGTTAATTGAATTGAGATTTTCGTTCAGATCACACTAATCATTATAACTATCAAAGTCCAGCTTTTCTGAATATCTGGTTACTATCAAATGCAATGTTGTCGAGGAGTGAGAATATTTTAATTGCTCCCAGAAGATCCTGAGGAAGGTACTAACTCTTGCAGAGGGTTTGTCACTAGATTTGAATGAAGTGCATTGCTTATGTGTCACAGTTCCTCTAGATAACACCTGAACATCTCCCTTTGGACTGATTTAGGCAAAAGCAAAATTCTCCCATTTGAAGCGGTAGATGTCCTACAAATTGCACATATTAATTCTTCAAGATGCTAGCTAGCTACCACCTAAAGAAGAGTTTTTAAAATCATGTTCAACAGTTAATTTTCTCACAATTTTAATATTTCAATTGTGATCTGCCAGGACACCATAAGAGCCTGTGTTAAAACAACAAACTTTACCAGTCTCGTTATGCAAAAACTAGACGGTAAAATGAATTCAAACTCTACTAGAACATAGAAGAATCTCTCATCTTTCGATTAATACAATAAAAAAGGCATCTTGAACATAACACTTATCTCGCTCTAACCACCTTAATAGTAACATCTGTACGCATTCAGTGTAATACTTTGGAAAAAAATTAAATTATTATTAATATTATTATTTCTTAATATTACTATTATTATTAATAAGTTCTAATGAGCTCCCCAAGCATGAATATACAATTTCTGTTTATATGAACGTAACCACACTTGCTGAACTTATAAGTGGTCACCACTGTGGTTAAAAAATGTATGGAATTTACTTATGAAATTAAGTAAAAGGTCTGTTTTACTCGCATAATTTGAAGGAAATGTTGATATATTTACTTCAAAAGCTTATAAAATAAACATTTACTTTTATTCATGTTTACTATTGATTAGTACTAAGTTTTAAATATCCTAAGGTTTTACAAAATTCATTATATTGTTTATCTTGTCACAAATTATAATTGCACCCAGCAACTTGCAACAATAGTACTTATTATAGTAAGTGTCACTTGAGTTTTGCCCCTTAATTCCTACTAAAGGCCTTTCAGGGGTTAATTTCATTACCTCATTTTAAACAACCCTCTATGAGAGTTATTGTTGGGCCTCTACTTGATTTATTTCTTTTCAAAATCGCATCTTCTAGAAACTGATAATATTATTAAAACAGAAGAGGTGATAAGTTTCTGCATTTCATTATCCTAAAAACTGAATGCAGATATCTCAGAATAAAAAGTTCACTTCTAATTCTCTTTCCATTTATAGTGTTGTATTGTAGAACTTTTTAACAGTATTAACGGTGTTGTAAAATTTGAAATTTCATTTCTGGTTTAAGGTGTGCTGCTTCGAAAATTAGAAAACGGTTTGCGGGGAGTGTCACATGTAATTGTGGATGAAATTCATGAAAGAGATGTGAATTCTGATTTTATCATGGTAGTGCTTAGAGATATGATTCACACCTATCCGGATTTGAGACTTATTCTCATGTCTGCAACTATTGATACTTCGCTATTCAGTAAATACTTCAATAACTGCCCAGTTATTGAAATTTCTGGAAGAGCCTTTCCAGTGCAAGGTAATATAACCCCTTTCATTTTGAACAGTTAAACAAAACAATGAAATCGAAATGTGTGAAACACTTTATTATGTTATGTATTGTTTGTAATTGAATGTATGCAACACTGAAATAGTAAATGTAGTTGTTTATGAATTATGTGAACATTATTTATATTTATGGATATAAAAAATTGTCTTAAGATTGTGAAGATGGAGGGACAATGAAAATAACTATGTCTTTATTTGTAGAATATTTTCTTGAAGATTGTGTCCAACTATTGAACTTTGTTCCTCCTACTATTTCACGTAAAAAACATAAAGAAAAAGATGATGACACAGGCACAGAGGAACCTGAAGAGAATCTAAATAAAGTAGTATCTGAGGAATACACTATTCAAACACGAAATGCTGTTGCTCAATTAAGTGAAAAAGAGATAAGTTTTGAACTCATTCAGGTATGCTTTCTGATTATTTGAAGATCTCAAAAATACTTTGTGAGTACTGTAATTATGTTTATATGCTATGAATGAACTTGCAGGGTATTTTAACATACGTTAAGAGCCTGGGGATCCCGGGGGCCGTTCTAGTCTTCTTACCAGGATGGAATCTCATATTTGCATTAATGAGAGAATTGCAGAGTAATCCAAAATTTGGTAAGTCAAAAGTGTATAAAGTGTTAAATTCACTTTTTGTTTTCTTAGAAGCATACTTCTCTTATTACTTACAGAACATACCCTATTTACAAGAATATGAGCTAAGATTATTCCCTGAACATCTAATTCTAAAAATATGGGGTCTCTTGTATTCACAAATTAAGCTTAGTTGGCTGTGATCAATGTTTTTACTTTACCCCTAATTTTTCCCTAAATTTTCGAAAATTGTGAAAATTTGAATTCTTTTGGCATTATCCTACAACTACAAAATTTATAGATTTTTCTTTTACATGAAATTTGTTGTCCATATTTGGTGTATCATTGAGGTCATGTAAATTGTTTTGGAAATTTTAGTTTTTACACAATATTACATTCAATGTGTGCAATAATAATAATTTTAAAAAAATCTTCCTTAAACTTTATCAGAGATAGTGCCAAACAAACTCAATGAGATGACATAGGTGCAATATTGATCTATTTTGTTGTTGTTGTTGTTGTTTTCTTCAAAAACAAATGTGATTTTGAGACTTGACTCTCAAGTCCTTAATATTTACATTAGCGGTAATGTGTTCACATTATTGCATTGATGAGTGCAATAGTGCACAATTAATCACAAGCAAATGATAAAAGGTTAAGAAATAATAGGACTACAAAAAAATATACTAAAATTATTTGAATGCCACCCAAAACCAAGAAACTTTTCGGTTAAAATTGAATGTAGATCAGGAATTCCACAAGGAAGTTACCTGTGACCAAGCCTTTATGCTGGTGTCCAGAAGCTCCCGTTGAAAGAAAAAAACAAACTGTGTTGACCTTTATGAAGGCCCAGTTTTTCAGGGGGAAAAATTGGGTTTAAATGTTATCTCCGAGTGAGAAACCCAAACCGACCGTCGTGACTGCAAACAAATGTCGCCTCTTACCGCGGGGGGCATTCCTGGATCCTCCGCATAACTGTTGTATACGGTGGCGTGAACATAATGATGAACACAATCTAAGATTCATTTATAAAAAAACAACTAATGAAACTTCGTAAATGCTCGAATTATTATCTTTACCACATATTCACATGGACTAGTGCTGTGTGACCTGTTCTTAATAATGTCACATAAATGATAGTCGCATGTAGATTATTGTAAATATGATATACTAAAAAGTATTTTTGATATAGAATGTTTGTGAAAATACTGAGTTTAATGATTATTTCTGTGCGCAGAATTTGAATTGATACTACCAGCAATGATTTTGTGAATGTATAGACTAATAATAGCAATTGATGTGCCCGGAATCAGTAAACAATCAATCGGTTTAATCTGAAGGTTGACTGTAAAGCGTTGTGCGTGTGTTAACCATAAGATGATACCGTTCACTTTACTTGTGGCAAGTTTGAGCGTTTTTACAAGTTCGCTTGCGCTGTTGACACGTAAACACGACTGCGCTAATCTTCGTTTGCATAAAAAAACGACTTTTAGTAATTAGTTAGTGTTTTGTGATATAAATGTGTACCAGAATCTGATATCCATAGAATATATAAAGCACAATGCGGATGCAATATTTTACCGCGTCGAAGTGTTTATTAGACGTTGTACATCACTTACATCACTTGATCAGCCACTTAGAACCCGCCGTTCACGCTCGTCTGGATGTCATGCTATACATAATTCGCAGTGTCATTGCCTCCTAAGATGACTGCATGCCCCCCTCCCACTGAATGCCGTATAGCATCTGCCCAACTTGACCGACCAGCTGGCCCTGTTGCACAGCCTGGAAAGTAACCTGCAAGACCGAGTTCGCGATCTGCTCGCCTAGGTATTGGTTTAATTGCACTGTTGAATATGGAAAGAAATCTTATTTGTGAAGTGAATTTGTGCAATGTATCCAGAAGTGAAATAATTCTTGGAATGACATCGTTTAATTTTTGTTACGTATTTTATGACAATGTGAAAAATATATTGAAGACGCCGAGCAGCTGCGAACAGGGTGCGAACGTGTTTTGTTCGCAGGAGGTGGAGGTGATCTTCCGTATCTGGATGGCGAGATTCGGAGCCAAACTACTCGTTGGCTTGTTGCCCCCCCTCCCCCTCCAAAACACACATCCCCCATCAGTGGGGCTAGTCTAAACTTCCGACAGGTCTCCCGGCATGCGAGGTAGTGTAGAGCTTGTAAGTGTAAGTGTATGTAAGGGTGAGGATAGGAAAAGGAAGGGGAAAGAAATATCACGCAGTCCGTACCCAGTTTGTTAAAGTACTTCTCCAGCATTTGATGCCCTGAGCCTCCTAAGCCGGTCTGTCTGGCCCGCCATACCACCAGACGTCAAAATCTAGGTAGGTTGCGGTACGTGCCCGCCACGATCGCCCGCATCGGACCCCGACGCCGGCCGCATGTACAGCAATGGCCCAGACCCGAACGCATTGTCAGGTCGATTACGGCAAGGCTCGGGATCTACCGACCACTACGGGCGTGATAGAGTTCCCTTCCGAGAAGGAAGTTCTCCAAAACGTCATAGAACGGCCGGAAGTCCTGTGATCCTTACGATAGTGCACTGTATTGCTCTGCCCAGCTGCCGAAGTGGCTCGATAGCAATCTCTCACACAACTTATATATTGGCGGTTTTGATGCAGTCAGCAGTCAGTTGCTCAGTTCCTCGCAGTTGCCGCTGTTGTGGATGAGAACAGTTCGGGATCGCCGCCACGCAGTCTGCTCCAGTTAATGCTGTGTTAATGAACTTCGCTAGCTCACTTCTACCTCGATGAAATCGCCGGCGTTGACGGAGTCCCGGTCAACGTGTATGTGTGTGTGTGTGTGTGTGTGTGTGGGGGGGGGTTAGCCCTCTTGCAGTCCGGGGTCCTGGCTATAGAGGGCGGTGAAGAAGGTCTTTATCTTCCCGTTAAGAACATCGCGCCGTCCTACACCGTCAGCACACTTATCACCTTCCGTTGGTGTCGCTTGTAGTGACAGGACTGCTACTCTTGTGCCGTCAAGTCAACGGTGCTCATCGATAGCGGCAACGTTGCTGCCGCAGTGTGAAGGGTCGGCTCGGTACCCCGCCGAACGAAACTATTCTGCGGGTTGCCTCATGCAAACGCTGCAGGGGTGCCCAAGGTTGCGGACACAAAGTACATATACAGGACGAACATTGCCTCAGGCAGATCGATAAGTGATTGCAGTGATCTTTCCCTCGGCGATTTACCCCAACCAGGTATCTCCCACTAACTAGGGCGCTAAGATAGTTTGCTAAGACTAGAAATAAAAAGTTATTTCTGTTCTTTTATTGGTGAAATTTTGCTCGTTTTCAAAACTTGCAGTAAACCTTAACATTATAAACTAGTTGTTTAAACTACTAATTCAATATAGTAATTAAACTAATAGTTACAATTGTAACCCAAGCTACTTTGAATGGTTTTGTCAGCACCATCCCCGGCACCAATCTCGTTCAGGAGGGCAGATCTAAGAAAGGTACAGGAAGTGTCGTGATCCCTGTCAACGTTTGTATATCTAAAAAAAGGGTCATTGTTGTTCTCAGTTTCTAAGTAGCATCAATTCGTAGTGGTGTTTTGAAATGTCTTGTGCAATTGATTTGATTGTGCTGCTTGGTGTGGAATAAAAACCATTTTGGGGATAAAATTTAGTTCTGAATGTGAGAATTTAGTGAAACTGAGACTCTATGTAGTTTGCTATGAACACTTTTATTAAAACATTTTGCACTGGCAAAGAAGAAATGGTGAAGGTATTAATATTGCTCTTCAAGGCGAAAAACAAGTTTGATTTTTCACTATATTTGTGTCAATTTAGATTTTTCTAAAACCATATCTTCCAAAGAAATAAATAGCAACACTTGTGATTTCAATACAAATAATAACAACAACAACAACAACAACAACAATAATAATAATAATAATAATAATAATAATAATAATAATAATAATAATAATAATAAACATAATAAATAATAATAAATTCAAAGGTGCAATCCAGACTCCAATCGGACAAATAGTTTCGGAGATAGACGAGAAACAAAACGGAACCACAAGACTTCAAGTACAAAATATTCCCCCATTACGCGACAAATTAGGAAAAATTTTAATTTCTGCGCTTTCATTTTAAATTCTGTGTATAAGGACAACACTTTAAGAGAAATTCAAAGGTGCAATCTAGACTCCAATCGGACAAATAGTTTCAGAGATGGAATTTTGGAAAAAATGAGAAATTGTTTGTAATATAAACATTTGAAATTTTTAATGTTAAACTTTATAAAAGTTTCACTTTTCTTGAAAACCAGTCGCAATAAAAATCATCAGTCTGATTAAAAAATTTGAAATAGTGCAGTGTTGCTTCTGAAATACAAGTAAGCAATAAGTGTAAAGAAATTTTGGCATTAGTTATAGGATTATAAATATTAATTATTGAATTTGTGTCGTATTATTAGCTGCAAAAAATTTGAGTTTATTAAATCATTATGATGAATCAAGACAATATTTGAAAAAAATCCATACAAATAAATTCTTGTTGTGGGGTTCTGCATCAATGCATACAATTTGAAAATTGTACGACCTTGTTTTTGAGAAAAAGGTAAATTTATCAGAAGAAACCAAAGTTATGGGTAATAGCTTGCAAACATTGAAGAGCAGTTTATGGAACCTTCAGAAATGTTCACCAATGATATATAAACTACAAACTAAGCCTTTTCTTTTACGATTATCCAGTAAACGTAGAATTTGGTTCTTACAGTTTACTCTGCTGCATAATTTATTAATAGTTTCAGAAAGCTTACAAGTCTCTTATTCTAAAATCATTGTTAACATCCTTGTGACCATTTTCATTACATATACCTCCACTGAGTTGTTATGTTGATGCACTAGACAGAGTTTCCGGATCAGAAACACATTTCGAGTTTACATTATACAACATTATTAACCTCCATATCATTTCTGTTTAATCTTATCAAAGAATGTTAAATATTTTTGCTTTCTTTTCTTTATGACAACTAGTCACTCTACACATGATCTCATTCTAACGACTTTGTCTCTCACTAATTATTTCAAAACAAAACACTGTCCACTCATAAAAATGTGTTTACAAGAAAAACACGCTTTAAAACAACATGGAAACACATGTTTGAAAAGCGGGAAATGATCACAGCCTTCTTAAACTATAGATTTCCATATGCCCATGCCTTGACCATGCCTTCTGTTGTGGCCACCTGTTAGGGGTTTTTTAAATTTTAAAGGTCTTACCGCGATCTGCTTGGTCTAAAACTTTGGGAGAAAGGGAATAATATGAGAAGGAAAAATTATTTTATGCTTATTTTCCACCTACATCCCCCCTTAATGAGAAGATTTTGCTATAACATACTTTAATATTCTTTCTATTCAGGTTGAACTCGATTTGCTCTAGTAATATTTTTTGAAAACTGTGTGGTGGTACATGCAATTAAAATGATCATTTTTCCCACATTAATTGACTGATTTGGTGTCCAATCATTTAAATTTCTGATGGTTAATTTTGGGTATAATGTGGGTTGTATTTATTATTGTATTGATGAATGTATTTTCTTGCAGGTGGTCGTGATTTTTGCATCATTCCATTACATTCACAGTTACCTCGAGAAGACCAACGAAGAGTGTTTGAACCAGTGCCTGATGGTGTTACAAAGGTGATTATCTTTCTCTACACAATTCGCTAGGGGAAGACATTAAACATTTTGAGATAGAAATTTAGAATTTTAGGCCCAATCCTAAATGATATTAGGAATAAGGGAATCCTTAAGCAATAAGTGTTTGTTTAAAGAAAGTGGTTGCATAGAGGATTGCATTTCTTAGACAATCCTTATAAATGTGGATTGAGTACTTCCTTAAGTGATTGGAAATAGGGCAATGTGTCATTTGTACCAACCAGATTGTAGTTAGATGGTATGAATGTACACATTTAACATTTTGTAGAGGGGGAAAAAATCCTGTGTGGCTTGGTGTTTGTACTTTCATTGTATACCTACAGAACTCAAAGAATTCTGGGAAATTGCCTTATTTTTCCAAATTAGAAGTGAGTGCTGCATAAAAGTGGTTAAGGTGAGGCCAAGTGAAGAATGTAAGAAAACGGGCAACCTCCATTGTAGGAATCCATAGTTGCTCATTTGGGAAAAAGAATAGTTTGTAAATAAGTCATTCTCTAAACCTTTTCAGTGTCATTGTACACAGTTGAACATACACAATATTTTTGCATTACTGGTATGCCATTTGCTATAATTTGTAGAAAGAATTAGCTTCACAGAATTTGTTTGTTTTTCTCTTATCTCTAGATGTTTAATTTTGAAGTTGAAACAACAATGTGATAATAATGATTGAAGAGAACAACAAAATGAATGAACAAACCTAAAATAAAATGAAAACAACTTCTCCAAATATCATAAACAATTCATTGAGTAGTCAATAATAAACTAAATTTGTTTACTTTCAGCAACGTGTGAAATTCATAAAATTAGTTGAAGCAAGGGTTAGAGGAAGACAAAATTGCTATTTCCCTCTTACAGCCTTGGTCGCCCCACAGCATTCGGGGACAAGTCCCCCACTCATTTGGTTACATCACTAAAGGCCATATCTTCCTAATGTTCAAGCAAAGGGTCAAAGAGTAAAAGCAGTAAACCCAGTAATAAGAGCCAAGAGTGTGATGCAATACTTGGGAGTCACTAGACACTAGGGAAAGCGCCAGTTGGATGCTCTTTGGTTTCAAAATTATTTCATGTACATTGATATTGCTGCAATATCTTGAATATTAAAGGGAAAATGTATATTTCTAAGATTTAATAATTTTCGGTTATCTGGGGGTTGTACAACTGTTTCCTATGCAAGAGCCACCAACCGCATAAAGCGTAATTGTAGCACCATCTTTTTGCCACTTAGGCGCTTTTTCATATTAGCTCTTACATTTCTGGTTTAGGTGGCTCTTGCTTAAGTAATCAATTTATGTCGCTGTCGTATCTCTTGACCGGAAGGTCCTAGAGCTCTCGTTCCAAAGGTGACAGGATTTTCGACACTAGCTGGATAACTGGGTTGAATTCAGCCACTGTCTGGAAGGCTAGCTGCTCTGATCAGTAGTTTTCCATGATTTCTGTGACCAATATGAAGGGGATGACAGAGCAGTATCCTAATAAACAATGGATTGAATGTGATCTTTCCTTCCTCTTCCTCTGCTTTGTCCTATCCTCATCCCTTATTTACATGCGCTACAATACATGTCGGGAGTTTAGAGCTTGTCCTGGCTGGAGAGGTGTCCTGTTGTTGGGATGTACCTGGTTAGGGAAAAAGGATTGTAATGGAATAACATCACATCTGATTCCTTGATGTGAAATAAATATTTGTACTCATTTGAGCAAGCTAATATTAGTGCTCAAATACATTTTAATTTGTTTTTCAAAGTGTGTTTCTTTGTGATTTTGTTTTTGCCAGAAGTTGTAAATATTTTATTTTTTTAATGATTTTTATAATGTTATACATTTTTGTAGTGTTTTATTGATTTGTAATGGAAAATATATTTCAGATTATTCTCTCTACAAACATTGCTGAAACTTCTATCACTATCAATGATGTCGTTTATGTTATTGATAGTGGCAAAAGTAAAATGAAATTATTCACTTCTCACAATAATATGACTAACTATGCAACTGTATGGGCGTCCAAAACTAATTTAGAACAACGGAAAGGGCGAGCAGGACGTGTGCGACCAGGTTTCTGCTTTCATTTAGTGAGCAGGGTGAGTAAAGAAAATTGGTAGTTGCATATACCTTTCAAACGTTATCAGCCAATTTATGGTAAAATTAGATTTCACATTACCTTTTATTTACCCAATTACTACTATGGAACATTCTCTTGAATATAGTTTTAGATTTTGTGCTATTGATTGTCATACATTGGCATGTGAATGTCACAGATAATTAATTTAATTAAGACTTCTCAGTTTAACTTGAAATAACATCTGAGTAAATTTTGATTGCAAATTTTTTATTTATTTTTTTTATTTTTTTTATTTTTTGAAGGCAAGATATGAAAAATTAGATGATCACATGACACCTGAGATGTTTCGAACTCCGTTACATGAACTTGCTCTAAGTGTAAAACTTCTACGCTTGGGAGCTATTGGCCAGTTTCTAAGTAAGGCAATTGAACCTCCTCCTATTGATGCAGTCATTGAAGCCGAAGTTTTGCTAAGAGGTGAGTGAATCATCTGCATCCTAAGGAGCCATTTTTTCTTCCTCTTTATGCGATTAATTGATAGAAATAACACAATAATACATTATTGATAAAAAATTGTGAACTTTATTGCAGAGCAAACCCCAGAATTCCATAACAGATGGAAATAAAGTTTATGTATTCGGTAATTGCTACCATCACCTTTATTTTCAAATTTCACTTTACGTTACCCCTATGTTCTTCATGATTTCTAAAAGTAACCAAGATGCTAATGAAAGAATTTTATGTTACCTTTTTATGATGTGTAGTTTGCAAACACATTTGAAAATGTAATATTTTTCCTATTTCACCATGGAAAATAATGTTAGCTTACATACAGACTGATTTCTCAAACCCTGGAGAAAGTCGATGGGATTTCACAAGTAATATCTAAAGCCTCTTCTTTTTAAATTTTTTCTTCTGTTTTTTTTCGCTCGCGCGCGCACACACGCACGTACACGCTCGCGCGCGCACACACGCACGTACACGCTCGCGCGCGCACACACGCACGTACACGCTCGCACACACGCACGTACACGCTCGCGCGCTCTCACATACACGCGCTCGCGCGCGCACACGCACATACGCGCGCACACTCGCTCGCACACACGCTCGCGCACGCGCACACTCGCTCGCTCACGCCGCGGCGCGGACACACGCACTACACGCTCGCGCGCCGCACACACGCACGTACACGCTCGCGCGCGCACAGCACGCACGTACACGCTCGCGCGCGCACACACGCACGTACACGCTCTCGCGCGCGCCCACACACGCACGTACACGCTCGCGCGCGCGCACACACGCAGCGTACACGCTCGCGCCGCGCCACACACGCACGTACACGCTCGCGCGCGCACACACGCAGCGTACACGCTCGCGCGCGCACACACGCACGTACACGCTCGCGCGCGCACACACGCACGTACACGTCTCGCGCGCGCACACACTCACGTACACGCTCGCGCGCGCACACACGCACGTACACGCTCGCGCGCCGCACACACGCACGTACACGCTCTCGCGCGCGCTACACACGCACGTACACGCTCGCGCGCGCACACACGCACGTACACGCTCGCGCCGCGCAACACACGCACGTACACGCTCGCGCTGCCGGCACACACGCACGTAACGGCTCGCGCGCGCACACACGCACGTACCCGCTCGACACGCGTACGCGCGCGCGCACACACGCACGTACACGCTCGACACGCTCATGCCGCGCGCGCACACACGCACGTACTCCGCTCGCGCGCCGGCACACACGCGCTCGCGCGCGCACACGCGCTCGCGCGCGCACACGCACATACGCGCGCGCGCACACGCACATACGCGCGCGCGCACACGCACATACGCGCGTACGCGCACACTCGCTCGCACACACGCTCGCGCGCGCGCACACTCGCTCGCTCACGCGCGCACGCGCGCACACACGCGCACACTCGCTCGCTCACGCGCACGCGCACACTCGCTCGCGCACGCGCGCACACACGCGCTCGCGCGCGCACACAGGGATTAAAGTACTGTATATATTTTTCTTTGATAACTCGGTGTTCCACAATATTAGATTTAGATCATTTATGTCTTGTTTCCCTTGATATAGCTCATTATTGATATCATTATTACTTGTGCTCTCCTTTGTCACTGAAGTTCAAATATTTAAAAAAATCACACAATCGTATTTTAACATTTCCAATGTACAGATCATATCCATATTCTCCTGTTACCATATACTTCGTTTTTAGACACATTTATCTGCAATCCCCATATTTAAAATTCCTGTTTAACTTTTCTAAACATAGTTAATATCCTGCTCATCCCCAACCATGAAGACTAGATCATCCGCGAAAGGTAGGACATCCAGTGTTGATTCTCCAATTTGCAGTCCCATCATACTGATTTTTTTCCTACATTCTTTCAGAGCTTTGGCAATGAAAATGTTGAAAAGAGTGGGGTCATAGAGCACCCCTGTTGTAATACTTTACAAATTATAATATCATCTGACACTTGTACTTTCACAACAACCTTTACTGTTTTTGCACGTTTTCTTAATGGTGTTAACTAATTTATAATTACATTTTTGTTCTAAAATTCTAAAAAGTCTGCTAATGGGAATGCTGTCACTTTTTGGAGGTCAACAAACAATAAATGAGAATCTCTTCCATAGGCTTTCCTTTTTTCTATAATTTGTTGAATGCAGAAAATATTACCTACACTTTAACAGTCAGCCGTTAAACCGCTTTGTTCTTCCAGATTTTCTATCTCTGACTCAATTCTTGATTGAATTATTTGCCCTTACAGTCTATTAATTGAACTTGTGACACTAATGCCTCTATAGTTTTCACACTTTTCTTTATTGCCTTTTTATAAATCGGTATAATTTCTGCTCTTCTCGCAATGTTTGAGGAATTTCTTTTTGATCAATGAGACATTTATTAAATAGTTTTAAAATAATTTCTTTCATGTGATCCAGTGTGAGTTTTAACAGTTCAACCGGTATCCCTCCTGGACCTGGGGATCTATTATTTTTCATCCCTCTCAGTGCGTTATTTAATTCTTTTAGAGTTATTTTTGGGATGTCATTCTGTATTTGTACATTATCTGCATTATAACTGATGTACTTGAAATTCCTTCTAACCTCTCTCAGAAGTTCTTGAAAATACACTGCCCACTTTTTAATAATGATTAGTGACGTATATTTACATGGCACATCTGTTTTTTATTCTTTTAATGATTTCCATCTCCTCTAGACCTATTGCTTCCCATTAACCTATTTACTTCAGAGCATTTTGTTTGCCAAGCTTGTATCTTAGCTCTTGTTACTGCTCTTTTAATCCTTCTATTGATATTACTATATGCTGTTCTATCTTGGGAGTCTCCTGAACTTAGACATTTTTTATATTTCACTGTCTTCTCTTCGATCATTGCTTCAAATCTTCATTCCCCAGTATGTTTTTCTTTCCTTTATGTTGGGCTTCGCACCTAATGTTTCAAACGTTGATTCAAGGATTACTGTTTTTATTTGTTCATATAGTTCACTTGCTGGCCAATCTACATTTATTTGCCAATCTTAATTTGTATAGTAAACTAGTAAAGTCATTTTGAAAGCTATCCAACTGATATATTTTTGGATTACATAGAGCACTAGTTTCTGGTAGTTAAATCTTTTGGAAGTTAATATCACTGGGGATCCTCTTGATAGAACTGTTGTGAACAATACCTAAAGTAAATGTTATCTGCTTTGTGTTTGCATATTGTTGAGTATTTTAAGGACAAAATGTAACAATCAGATTTTACACTTTGGTTTTTAGAAATGAAGTGCCTAGATTCCAATGATGAACTTACTCCGTTGGGTCGTATCTTGGCAAAATTGCCGATTGAACCACAATTAGGTAAAATGATGGTTCTAGGTACAATGTTTTTTTGTGGAGATGCTTTGGCTACAATGGCTGCCAATAGCTCCACATTTCCGGAGGTTTTCACTACAGGTAATGATTTGACTCTGTGTGTTCATAATTAAAAACTATAGATAATTATAATTAATTTTTATATTGTATAGGTATTGATCATAGACGGCTGACCTATCAGCAGCGTTCATTTGCGGGAAATAGATATTCAGATCACATTGCTATGCTGAATGCGTTTCAGTCTTGGGAAGATGCTCGAATGGAAGGTGAACAGGCTGAAATGAAATTCTGTGATTTTAAAATGTTATCGTTGCCAACTTTGAGAGTTACATGGGAAGCTAAGGTATGTATTGAAATTTCATTTCAGTAAATTTTGTTTCATCAATTCTGTGTGAAATTGTTTTCCCTTCAAAGTATTTTACTTTTTCTGATAAGCTTTTCACCTTAATTGACCAGAAGTCTTCAGGCAGCATGTATAGGGACCGGTTTAATAAGTGCTAATAATTATGAAATTATTTATGGAATTATATATATTATTATTAATTATGAACTATTATATGCATTTGTGCACCCAGATTCTTCAAAAATATGCTCTGAAATATGCCCTATTATGAACACTACAATCCCTCATAATGTTTCTCATAATTTTTAAGCCCAATACATTCATAAATCACTACTCTTTATCGTATCACTCAATGCAATTTTGAAGAGTAGTTAGTTACCTCAATGCAACTAAAAACATTTAACCATAAGCATTAAAACAACAGTTGAACACAATTCGGAGAACGCTTTAGCTGCAACCTTAAGGAAGGTTCATTTCTTTTCTGCATCTTGGGTGAGGGAAGGTGACTTCTAGGAGATGTGTTTGTTACATGTTCACTTAAGTTTCAAGAATGCAATACATGTAATATTTGTGCAGGTTGACCACTTTCTGGAAAACGCAGGGAATATCTATTCCAGGAAAAAGTTCTCATGGTCAAAAAATTGTTTGTCAATGTAGAATTTGAGCTAACAATTATTTCTAATTGACAGAATTAATTTTTTATGATAAAATTATTTATAAGAAATTTTATTAATTATAAGAATCATATTTATATAACTATTTGTATTTAAGAACATCATTTTAAGTCATAAAATAATAAATTACACAATACTCTATAAAACATTGGCTAATGAATTTGAAAATTAGTGCTTAGTATGTAATGTAACTAATGCCACAAGCTCTCTGAACAATATTCATGAGAGAGGAAAATGGGCTCAGCCAATGATTTTAAATTTGCTTCAATGTGTTAGTGAAATTTGTGTGAGTGTCGCTTACTATAGGATCTACACATTCAGGCTACAACAACAACAACAACAACAACAACAACAACAACAACAACAACAACAACTGGCATTTGATAATATTTCCTTAAGCTGCAGAGGGGAAAAATTGTCATCATAGTCAATTGAGACGTGCTCGTGGCTCATTGAGTTGTGAGCTCAAGACATGCTTGTTGCTATGCTCATGGGCCCAGAGCTTAGCAGATAAATTCTATCGAAGAAAGAAAGCGATGGGAAACGGAATTAGAACACGGAAGTGGGTATGAAAGAGAGCAGAAGAAGAGAATTGTGGGTTAAGCAAGGTCATCTCTAAATGAAAATTAAAACATTGAAGGGAAAATTATTAAAAAGTTCTTTAATAAGATCAGTGATTTTGTGATTTTCAAATGTGATCAAAGGAAATTATATTTTATTTGTGAAAGATTACACAGTATACATTGTATTATAAAGATGTGTATAAAACATGATATACAACAAGAATTCTCTATTTATATGAAATTATAATTATAATAAAATAAAAGTGCAATTATATAAGTAATGCAATAGTACACATAACAGGGGAAAATGATAACTCAGGGAAAATAAATTTGGGTTACTGGCGGGCACCCTGTTGTGATTTTCGTGTTAAATATCAAATATAATTCTGTAACAGGGAATTGATGTGAACTACAATAAACCAAAAATATCAAATATATTTCAAAACAAAAATTAATTTTATTGAAATAAATACAGTAAATAGAAATTAGTGGTGATTTATGTTTCACACAAAAATTCATGTTTATTTTCGATGTTTAAAAGAAGGAAATTAATTCTGGGGCTTTACAAGAAGATATAATTTGTACCCATATGCATCCCATCCCCTCTTTGCAGTCTTTATTTCATTATATTATTGAGTCTATTAATGATAAATAATTTCATATTTTTCAGAATCAACTAAAGGAACTGTTGCAGTCAATTGGCTTTCCTGAAGAGTCAATGTCAATGCAGGTTTTCAATTACCATGGTTCTGATCCAAAATTAGACATGGTAACTGCACTTCTTTGCATGGGTCTTTATCCTAATGTTTGCTTTCACAAGGAGAAGAGAAAAGTAATGCATCTTTAATTTTGTTTGGAATTTTATTTGCGTATTATTTTGTATTAATTGTGCATTATTTCTTATTCCAGGTGTTAACAACAGAATCAAAAGCTGCATTGATTCACAAAACATCAGTAAATTGCAGTAACCAAGAGCAACACTTTCCATTTCCATTTTTTGTATTTGGGGAAAAGGTGAAGTTAACATATACACTGAAAAAACATGTACATATTATTTGTATGATTGATGTGAAATGGGTTAAGATGTTTTTTATGTTCACATGTCGGTATTGACATGTGTAAAAGAGAAAGTGTGGTGGCTTCAGTGTTACATGAACTGTCGCAATGTGATACTTATGTAACAACATGCTGTGAAGTTGTTAGACTTGCATCATTAATTATGCTTTATTATTGTAATCTTACTGAAAGAGAGTAAGGTGAAAGCACCAATAGTCGGCTTCTTAAGGAAAAAACACAATTATTTTAATTTTCAGATTATACTTTCAAATAACAAAGCATTGTAATATTTATTTTCTGGTTTCTATTACTGGTTAAGCAGTGAAAATATTTTTGAAAACAAATTTAATCTTAAACCTCTGGAATTGCACCTAAAGTTACACTATAATATACAGAGGATCCTTAAGTAGACACATGAGGTACCTATACCTGACACCCTATTTTGATCATTATAGGGAAACAAGTGTGATTTGGGTACAATTCTCTAGTGTATAAACAATAAAGGCCTTTGTGTAAGTGTAAAACTTCCTTTATTGCCATACATTTTGAACATTAAAAGCTTAGTAACATTGAACATAGCTTGGTAATGTTGATCGTGCCATTTAGAATCATCACGTCCATTAACCATTTTCATTTCTAAGTGAACGTTCCCCTTGCGTTTTCCCTTTTAAAGTGACTGGGGATACAATTTGTCTTCGAAGCAGCAGTATAGCTCTTACTGTTATTTACTGCTTCTATAGCATCAAGCATCGATTGCTGAGAATACTTTTGGATCTTTTTAGAAGCCATGTTTCATCTGGAGACAAAAAATTGTATAAGCCTCCTAAAGCTGACATATTGGGTACTTAAACTTGACATGCATGTCCACTATAGGAGCAGCTGTAATTTATAAGAACCTCTACTTGACAATCCTACTATTGTTATAACTTACTCACCTTTTTCACTAATGATTCTTAAAATAATATTATTATTCATCCTGTATCCCAGTAATGCGCATAAACAACATAGAAAATCAAAGAGGGCGAATCCCAATTCTTACGATCAATACTTACTTTTCTTAACTTGGTTTCTATCTCTGCTTCAGCTTTACTCTCTTCCATCTGGCACTCTTCACATGATTGATGCAATTTGATGTAATCCATGCAGTATACTTGCTTGTTTCAACAGGTAAACAAAGCTGGTGAGTGTTGCCATATGTACTCACAGCCTCCTTAATCACTACACTACATTACATACTACGTTACATTAAGCATTTAAAAAAAAAATTATGTCGACTATAGGTGCTCTTTGTCGAGATTAAATTTTCCATCAACATAAATAAATGAACATATGTATGTTTCTCAACATATGTGTTGAACAGAGAAATTGAAGTAGTTAATTATCAGTAGGTGCCCAGGAGACCCTGCTTAAACTAGAAAAACCTCACTTTGTTTAGAAAACAAAAATTCTTAATATAACAGTGGGTGTAGGCCCTGGGCCAACACCCGAAGAGCCCTTCAAAACTCCAACTTCCCTTTTTTGTAATGTCACTAACAGTGCTTTCTTATTTTTTACTTCTGTATGAGTTTGTGTTAAAATCAGTTAGAATATTTATTTTCAAATATGTTCATTATATCATTACTACACTGCATGTTATTAAGTTCTAAGCTGGTAAACCATGTTTGGTTGGGTTGTCTCTCCATGAACAAACAGAATCATATTTTCTATAGCCAAACAAATTTGATTCATCCTTTCACCGAAGGAACATCCATTTTGTGTACTATTTCTTAGGGTGGAGTTAGCAGTTTGTTATGGCCTATCTGTGAACTAATGTGATCGGTGGATAAGTGGAGAGCACGATCTTTACTGTTGCTGTTATCGTTGCAGTCTTTGCCTTGCTCAGAGGAGGTTCCGAATTTTCATGTAATTTCCCAACTACAATATTATCAGCTTTTTCCATTAGTTTCTCCTTCAATATTTTGTTTACAGTATAAAAGTGAATATTTTTTTAAATTGCTTCATCTATGAAAGTGTTAACTACAATGTTTTTCTTCATTCCTATTGGGGTAGAAACTATAAGAACATTCAGATGAGGATGGATTGTCTTCACAAATAATTGTTTTTATGGTGTAGTTGGAGAGACCAGTAGTTTCACATCTCATCTGCGAAGCATTGGCATGCAATTTTTAGGTTCTTAAAATAATAATTTCATCTATTTCTCACTCCTGTTTCCTGAGGAATCTGCCAGACACTTATCATAAAAGGAATAATATACATTAATCATAGAATTCTTTGAAATTAAGTTGTTTAGAATCTCTCTTTAGTTTGAAAACACCATTAACAATTAGGCTTACACCGGAAATATTACCATATGCACACTGAACGCTCTGGATGTCACAGTAAGTAGAGCAAAGTGCGTGAACATTGAGTCATTTTGAGCATCAATTATCTATTACTAGATATTAAAGATAGGGAAGGGTTGTGTTAATATTTGAGCCTGCGAAATGAGACATGCCGCCATGACGACCTGACCAAGTATGCACACACACTGAGCAAAAGGGGAAGGAGAGTGAAGGGATAACCTCTCTGCTTTTGGAAATCCATGCTTATGCATTCAGTGGGAGTTTTCTAACTTGTTCACGTACACTTCTGCTGTTACAAAAATCTGACCATATTTTACAATAATTACAATGAGCAGTGGGAAAGCTACATTGCAATTTTTTCCCCTTCTGTTAGGTACTCATTGTTTATGTATACAATTTTTCATATGTTCAACTACTACTAAAAAATTAGTGGTTTTATAATACTATCATTAATTACACATTTTATTACAAATAAAGCATTAATAGTATGTTGACATGTTGGAACACTAATTTGTCTAGACTGCCTTTGCAATTTGAATTTCAGTATTCTCTTGCATTTCAAATGAAATCAGGAGACTAAGAAAATTAGTTTCAACATATTTATCCATGTCTTAAACATTGCTCCCAACCAGTCAGCCCAAAGCGATCATAAAGTTTTTAGATCAGATGATCACTACCAATGATAGAAGTAAGCTGGAGCCAGCACACTTTCTTCTATACACTCTGGAATTTATATTGCTCTGTGTTATTATTCCTGATGAAAAATATGCATAGGTTCTGTATCTTTATTAGCTTTTTAAAAAGTTTATGCTTGGTTTTATTTGGGTTTTGAATACATAGGAAGCTGTCCCTTTATTTTTTCTTTGAAATTCATATTATTTGTTCTTAATCTTGTAGATTCGCACTCGAGCTGTTTCTTGCAAGCAGATGACCATGGTTACTCCAATTCATCTGCTTCTGTTTGGATCTCGTAAAGTCGAATATGCAGACAATGTTGTAAGGCTGGATAATTGGTAGGTATTTGGTTTTCTTGTGTATGTTGAACTAATTCTTGTCGGTCATCTTTTTCAGAAAAAAAATATTGATACTTATAATTTTGATTTTTTAATTAATAATTTAGGATTAATTTAGCAATGGATCCTAAAGTAGCTGCCTTGATTGTTGCACTACGCCCTGCTTTGGAAGGGTTAGTAATTCGAGCTTCGAAAGAGCCTGATACCATCACAGAGTTATCTCCTCTAGATGAAAAGGTTATGAATGTGATAAAAGAACTCTGCAAGATTAATGCTGGGAGACATGGTTTGGAGCAAGTACGAGGAGGCGGGTAAGAACCACTAATCAAATTCTCTCATATTTTGGAAACTAAATCAATTGATGAGAATTTTCCCGAACTTTTTGATAACATTCTCCTTTTGTAAAGTGAAATTTAAATTCCTTGGAAGTGTTAATATAACTTTTATTTATTTCAGATTGTAAAAATTCCAATTATACTTAAAGAATTATTTTTGCATTAGGCATGGCCTGTTTGCGAACCTGTAAATCTATATACAAAGCAAAGTCGGGTTAGTTACAGCATTTATAACTTATGAACGGCTAGACCAATTTTAATTATCTCTGATTTGTTAGATTCATCTCCACCCTGAATAACGGAATAATTATTCAAATGTCGTAAAAAATTCACTAGAATGCACTGTAGAACAAAACCAAATATTCACATTAAATGCAACCTGCAAAACACACTGCCAGATTTTTTTTTTTTAATATACATTGTTAAATAACTCCTAAACAAAGCGTTCTAGGACATTATAAACAGAAATTTTGAGGCCGAGGGCCTCAAAGAAACATCCCCACACTGTAATGTACAGGATGAGATTTTTTGAACTTTCTACTACATTTTCACTGGGGGGAGACAAAGAGAGAGGCAGATGAAGGGCAGAACATCTGCCCAGTTTTGCTAGTAAAGATATATAATAGGTAAGCAATGATATGCAAAAAGGCAACTTACATTGCTAGTTGTAGTGAAACGGTCTATTATAAACAGTCACTACTGAATGCATCAGCAGTTTGACTTAGGAAACCCATGATCCAATTTCTATGTTATAAAAGATGCTGATAAAACGCAGCAGCACTCATGCATACACTCACTTTTCTTACAAAATGGGTCTAGTATTTCGACACTACATCCGTATTTAGCAACTTCCAAAACAAAAAATATGCAAGCAAAAGGTCTCCAAGCACTTCATATAAAAGTCATTTAAAAATTTAACATTTTGCCTGAGAAATGTTTGCTTTTAGATAATAAATAAAAATCCGTTTTTATAAGTTAATTAGTAACAATTGAAGCATGTCTACTTGGTCTCCAAATATTAATTAAAATGCTTTAAAAGTAAATTCACACATTCCAGACCATTTTTTAACTATTATGCTCATTTATGTATCAAGAAGCACTGTATGGTGAAAAGAATAGTGTAAGTTCTCCACTCCCCCTTCATTACACTAAAGTATTGCTTGAACAGAATGGTGATTCTAAATGTTGAGTTTGTGATGTGTTTAGAGAATAATAGTACTTCTGCTTTGTGGTTAAATCAAAACTTGCGAGTTCTTGTTTCTTGTGCTGATTTCTGTTTGGTGGGCTTGTTTGTTTCAATTGATAGTCTTTTTCTTTTCTTTTTTTCTTCTGGCTCTCAACAAAAAGTCACTATTTAATTTTTTTCAGTTGTAACAAATATTTGGTTGTGCTCTGCACTTTGTTGCTGGCTCATTGGAAGGTGGGGGTTATGCTGGTGCAGGTTTTAGAATTATGTGAGGAATTCTTGATGTATAAAAAATTCTTTTGTGTTCATAGTACCCTAATTTTTTGTTTTAGATTTGTCTCCAAAAGGCCACCTCGTGGTCACACATTAGATGGACCACCATCCAAGTTCATGCGTGGTTATGGTGGTAGAGGAGGAAATTTTGGAGGTGGTTTCAGAGGAGGATACAGTGGTGGAGGTATGTGGAGAAATTTGGATATCCTTGGCAAGTCAGAGAATTATAATAAACATTTCAATTACTATTTGCATGCTTAACTTATTGAACTCAGATATGTCTGCTGTGGTGCCACAGCAGATGTGGCTCGCCAAACTGGCTGTAGTGCCACAGTAGGTTTGGCAATTCTGGCAACTCATTCTCATTCACTAAATTAGGTGTGGCGTGTGTTTTCCTACTCCACTACAACACAGGCAAAGAGGGCCTCACCATGAATAGCTTATGTCTGTTTTTGTCTTCACTCCTTTTTACTGAGCAGCATTGTCATAGGATCCAATCATTTGTAGTGTTCTTATTTTTACTTAATATCTAGTGTTGGAAACCAAACTATTCCAGAATACTATTTTCATTAAATACCACCTCTTCTTAGTTTATAAAATAGGATTTAGTAATAATCTGTCATCACATTGACTTACGCCACTACTAATCTTAAAGAATAAACATTCAACAGCTGCGTACTAATGGTATTCACTACCTGACACAGACTGAAAGGCACACCTTAGAAAAAAATTGCAAAATAATTGAAGGAACATTTTAAATTGTTAAGAACTAATAACGTATGTATTTATGTGTGTTAAGAACTAATAATATATTACACTTATATTTTGCAAGTTTATATTAAAATATATTCAGTTTTTGAGGTACAACTAGGGTAATATATATTTTGTACTTGTGGGCTTTTCCACAGGTCAGCGCAAATGGTCATATCCTGTTTTTGAAGAACTAGTTCATTAATTTTATTGCTTTGCTTGCACAACTGTTGTGATGAAGGGCAGTCCCGGTTTCAGAAATTGCAGGAGTTTCCACAAAGTGATTAGGCATGCCGTGTGTGTGTGTGCGTGCCTGTTTCTTTCCTCCTTTATGTTCTTTTTTGGTGTAAATATCCGATAAAAGGCGAAACAAAACTTAAGGTTAAGAAAGGTTGAAGTAATAAAAGTACTAAGTGAAACAATAACTCCGAAACAAAGATCGGGAGAAAAACCATTGTGTTAGGTATCACACACATGCACACCACACCACACCACACCACACCACACCACACCACACCACACAACACCACACACACCACACTCCTTGGTCTGAGACTGTTCAGTTAGTGTTTGAAATAGATATCATGCTCCGTTTTTTTGTTTTGTTTTTAACCCTAGTCTTAAACTCTTCGAGACTTGGATATAGCACACACAGTTTCAAGTTTTTTTCCTTTCATCAGTCACCTGAAAAGGATGAAAAGGGAATTTCACTGTAATTTAATTGGATTTTCAAAAAAAGTTGTATAAAAAGGATCATGCTCCAAATATTCATATTTTGACATTTGTAGTTAATGTGCATGTGAATTATGTTAAGCTCTATAATTATGGGCAAGTGTAATTTGATTTCACGTTATGTATGAAGAAAGATATATTATTTGTTTAAAAATTTGCAGGGTACTCAAAGCATACTCAAAATAGGAAATACAGAGTTTTCTCCATGTAAGGTTGGAGAAATTATTGAAGTATCCCATTTTGAAAAATTAATTCATTCTAAATTGTGAACTTTTGTTTTTGGTATGTTGCAGGTTTCAGAGGAGGAGGTGATGGTGGCAGAGGTTTTGGTTTTGGTGGATATAGAGGTGGAAGAGGAGGCTTTGGCTATCGCGGTGGATATTAATTTATAGTTCTTGTGCAAGTGATGAAATGAATTGAAATGAGTTATAGGTTTAGATGTATAAATGATCCTTTTGTTTTGTTCTTCATTTACTGCAGAAGCAAGTAGCATTTTTGTAGGTAAAAAAGTTTACATTCAATAGGGGGTTGCAGCTGGTTGGAAATGTTGAGCATACAATTACATTCCCACTTTAACTTATGCTATTCATTTGATTTTTGTGTTGCTCATTCTTTCACCTAATTTGAACATCTTACCATAATTAATTTCCAGAGTTTTATTTTGAAGGTAATTTATTGAAAACTTCTTAAGATGGAAATAATTGTATTCTTGTTTGTTAACAATTTTCTTTGTATTTAATTATGTTGACTTGTTTCACCTGTTATTATTTATGTTGTAAAGTTCTAATTCTTTGTATTAGTAAATATAAGTGCAAATGTTTTTTGTATTTAAATTTTTATTAAAAAGTCCATCATAATAAGAGGAGAAATGGAAATTGGTAAGAGGACAAAGGCTTTGTGTCGATTGTGATCATTGATAATGATGATTTGGAAAGATTCCATTGACAATATAACAATAGAAGATTTATACTAATCTTTTAAGCTTAATACCAAAAGAGCACTAGTGTAATGCTGAAATAAGTAAAACTATGGTTTTAAAAGTGTTGATAAGATTCTAGAATATGTGTCTGAAACATTGTGTTAAGATATTTCATTGCAATTCTTTAATATTGTATTCATTCATCAAGACAATAGAACAATTTTACTCATCATTCTCAAATTGTTTTATTCTCCTTTCATACATTCATTTCATTGGCCCATGTTCGCAACATATTCAAAGTTACACCACTGCCCCCACTAACAATGACAATTGCTGGACCATCTGTCAAATGAACCCTTTCGTCTTTGATAAGTGTTTGTAATACTTTGCAGTAGACTGAAGCTAGAGCTGCTCCACATGACGGTTCGACTACTGTGTTCTCATTGGCTGCAATTTGAGGCAAAATGTGTATTCTTATTCTTATTTATTTATTGTTTTACAGAAAAATAGAATAGGTAGACAAACCTGCAAAGTGCAAGCAGCTGCTTACTGCTTGAGCATCTGTTACCACTTCAGATATTATTTTAAATTTGGCTAGACTATCTATTAGCTGTTGTGGTACTGTTCTTGCACCAAGAGTTGTAGCTATGCTGAAACAATACATAAATTTATTATTATAATAATCATTATAATTATTATCATTATTATAATTATAAGGGTGGCTCCAGAAAGATTGGTTTTCCACAAGAACTAAACTGAAGAATTAAGCTTCTTTCACTGCATTTAGGGTGAGGTTTTGAAAAGGGTTGCCAGCGCACAGTCCATTTTGACAACAAAATTTTAGTCTCGATAAAAATATCTACTTCAATTAACTTAATACAGTAAAGGGGTTTAGTTTTGAGTTACAAATTCCAAAAAGTTGCGAGCACATCGTCTTTCATTTTGAAAAAACTTATTCAAGTAAATAATTTGCTTTTACGTACATTAGTATTTTTTGTTTTGTATTTTTTTAAATTGACCTGGTGCACGAACTTCCCAATGAAACCAATATCTTTCTCCCACTTTTTTAAATAGAATAGTTGGTTTTATTTTTTGGGAACGCTACATATTGTGCTCCTTCATGTGTAATGTGATTAATAGATCCCTTTACTGTATTTGGATAACTGTGAGTGTGCAAGAGTGTCAATCCAACGCTCACGGTTAGACCACTTCCCATGCACCAAACAAGAGATACGAGGTGTCATTTAATGTCTCGGTCACCTGGTGGGGAACTGATAATTTGTTTTTGGATCCAACCAGAAGATTTCCAAAAACATGTTTTCTCGCTGTGATCTTAGTGGGTATGCCGGAAATTAACCTAACACCACCCATATAGATCTATGTAAGTGGCGTTTAATGCAATAAGTGAATTGAAAGAAATTGAATTTAATTTACATCCGTATTACTGTCGTTTTTAAAATAAATTTGCAAAAACATGCATACATTATTGCCTTGGAACTTATTAAACATAAACTTCAAGAGAATATGGAAAAGAACAAATTGAGTAATGTGATAGAACTAAATTTATATTCTAACATTTGACTTTTCACATTTACATACTTAAGCGTGCAAATACCGATTTTTAAAATTAAGGTGACTAACATTCCTTTTCATGGATTCACCTACAAAACAATGCATCACAATTGTAGAGCAATTGCAAAAGTCTAAGTGAACACAATTAGAGTGACTTTGTGGAGTGTTAATCTCTCAAAAATGAGGACAAAAGTATGAAAGAGTTTAGCAAATCTGGGGAAGAATCAAATGTAGTTGTAGAATGTTTTGCAACAGAATTTTTGGAACTATTAGTATGATCTTATTAGAGAATAACTGAAGAGTAGCTCACAGATGAGTTTTACTTTCTCGCTACAGAGAAGAGAGGAAGATATGTAATGCTACACCAAAAAGCAGCACGTTTTTGGCAGAAAAATCTCTGTTCCAGGGGCAGTGATAATGAAAGAGAAGATTAAACCACTTGTGAAATTTTGAAGGGAAAAAAAAAATCCTATCACATGGTGTGGCCAGGATCAATGTTTTGTGGGTCCTTAATACTGAAAAATTGGACACTGGTAAAACATGTCTGTGAACAACACTCGTGGCATTCAGCTGATATTCCCCAATCTATCTGGCTGATGTTGTGACCCCTTAAATATGATACCAAAATTTTAATTTGGTTTAACTCATGTTTGTTGAAAACCCTGATTTTTCAAAAATTGCAAAAGTTTATAATTTTTTCCAAGTCTTTCTACAACTAACATATAAAAGATAGTGATTTTTTCCCTTAATGAAATCTGTTTCTTAAAGACCAAATTTGAAGTAAGGTTATGTACAACTTTTTGAAAATGTGAGTATCTTTGTGTTATTTTGCATGAAACTATGGGTGAGAAAGTATGTGCTGTTTTAGCACCTAGTTTGTGTCTTTTGGTGCATATTAGTAAAAAATGTAGCTGTACTAAATTCAAACTACTCTGCACCATTCACACCTGCAATTGTGTGACATTACCAGTTCATATCCACTATGGAGGTAAAATACAAGGCCATTTGGGTGTTGGGAATTTTTGAACAGGAGTAAAACATGATATGATGCAATATAACAATTCATTGGTATGCCAAAGACTATACGAACTTATGTGAACTTAACTATGCATGACATAGATTTTCAACACATGGAAATACTTTTAAAACAGCTTCAGCGACACCACATATAACTAGTAGTTCTTAACTTATTGGAGGCAAGATTGCATTTTTCACCATATCACACATTGAGGAATCTCTTGTGGCAAGTGGAGAATATTGTGGCAAAACTTCTATATTAATATGTTGCTTCTTCATTTAATCATTGTATTACTGTGCTTTTGGCCTGACTAACAATTAGAGATTTGCAATTTTTAATGGGATTTCTGTCAAGTTTTAGATTATATTTATAGTAAAAACAGTAAAAACTATACGTGATATGTAGAGTGGAATAACATCAAACATTAGGAGGTCTGTATTTCCAATTTCAGATTTTCTTCAGAGCAGCCAGAAATTAAATATAGTGGTTTGCTGATTCACCAAAAAATGTGAACTTTTACACATGTCCTATTCGTTCTACCCATTTATAATTATATGATGTGATTATCTGCAGTAGAGATACAAAATAATTCATGTAACGCATGGTTTCAAATCATGGTGACAACAATGTTATCAATAAGGCAAACCACTTTTTCCAAATTTTATTTTACGAGTATGTTTTCTTCAGTGTCAGGGTTTTGTGTTGTTTGTGTTCTATTTATGATCTACTGGAATAAATAACAGCAAGCCAGTTGATTAGATTGAGATTATGAGATATTCCTGTGATGAAAATGATTGGAGTGCGCCAGATGGTTTGCAAGCCCTAAGAATTGTATACACATATTCACCTCCCAAACCTTCATTTTCTCTGTACAATTTTTGCTCCCTTTAGGAACTTGATGTACCTCGTGTCTATGACATTCGTCCAGTTTAAATTTGACACCACACTTCGAAATCAAACGTGTAAACTTGTTATGAATTAACATTCTTGGACCTTTTATCCCACAATTAATAAAAACAAACACTGGAGATGAATGTTTGGAAGGCAGTATAAATATTGTCCTCATATGAGTAACACTTGACATTAGGCAGGGCAGATTAAGTTATCAATTGAATCTGTTGTAATGTCATCTTCCAGTGTAACCACAACTACACCTTTAATCCTAAAAACATGAATTAGGAAATATAATTTGTCTAATGCTAAGTAATTATTAAAATATCATAAAATATATAAACTCCAAAATCTTAAAAATGCTACATTATAAAGATAAAACTGAAAACCATGTATCAACTAAAATTGTCATACACTCAGAGGTGTGAAAGAGCACCAATCAACTTTTGTTCACAATTTGCAATAGTGTAATTCATATATCATCCTATTCTTTTTTTAACAAGAACGTTTTACACTTCTAGGGAGGAGTTGATATGTTAAAACTTCACTACAATAGTATAAGTTCACAAATGTTTCAACCTTTTCTCAAATTAACACAAATTTTGAATGAATTTTTTAATAAGTACTTCACACACAGAGGCAGTCAAATTAATACATTTTTTAAAAATTTATCTCAAATTACATACATAGTACAGAGAAAGTGTTGTAATGCTGCAGCAAAAAGCTGTGCTATCTCAACACAAAGACTTCTATTGTGGGTCCCTGACACCAATAAAGTGGATAAATATTGATCCTATGTTTACTTCAAATATTAATTACTTCTAATATTACTAATTAAATTACTTCTAATATTTTGTCATCAGAATCTATATGTTGTGGGTTCTTGATAGAACAATTGATTTACAGCAAAACCTCTCGTTTGTAGTCAACACAAGCACTTCAGTATATTTCTTTAAATCATTTCAATTACTTTTCTTGGAAATATTCAGATACTGATATATTTAAGAAAATATGTAAATGATGAATGGAGCATCATCGTCTACAAACTAGGAGGATGTTGCATAAATTGTGTAAAAGAGCAATGTACACATTACAATTTTTTAAAAAAATCCATTTGCTGCATTGTCAGTGCTGTGAGGATTGTGATTTGCGAAATTAATATGGCAAACAAATCCAGCATCAATTGTTGCTTTTCCAAAGTCGCTTTGGCAACAATAGGCACTAGCTGCCACTGTTACTGTTATTAGTTTGTATTATTATTATTAACTATTAATTTTATTTACATTTAATATATGCATTATACATCATTGAAGTGTTGTGTATGTGAATATAGTTAATTCAGAGAAAGAATGCTATTTAATGTAAACATTTGGTTGGATGAATAAAGGGAATTAGCAGACAAAATTGAAAGAAGATTTTGAAAATTTTTATTTTGGTGTTCTGAAATTGAGATAAACGTTACTCTACTGAAGGAGTGAATCTCAAAAAAGTCTCTACTGTACTTGAAACTTCTGTATTATCTAGGGGTAGTATTAGATTAAAAACTAACTTGTCAGGCCCATATTGAAACAACAGTAAATCAAATCAATGCAGCAACTAGGCTTTATCAGAACATTCAAGGAGTTGTATTCAGTTGTGGCTCTTAAAACTTTATATTATCTCCTTTTCTGCCCAATTTTTATGCAAGTATCAGATATAGTTGCCATTTTTTCAATACTACAAAAGGCTGGAAACAGTTCGGCATAAACTTTAGAATTGCATCTAGCAGACTATGAATTCCTGACTCCTTTGTAGATCACAAAGTTAAACTTTCATCTCAAGATTTACAAATTCCCTCACTTAATTCTGCGAGGAAAGGGAGCGTATTTAATTTTTGTACAAGCTGCAGCTAATTTGGACTATCCTAAGCTGATAAATGACATGAAGTTTAATGTTTTTACATGAATTTACACACACAAGCAAACTTTTAACATAAAATTCTATAGGTCACAATATACTTAAAAACTAACAAGAATGTTGAAGTAGTCAATGATCTTGAAATAGACCTGTTTAATATGAATATTTCACATGTAAACTTATTAATCTCAAGGACAATGACTAAATATGAATAAGTAGAGCAAAGAAGGAAGTTGATTTTTATAAAGAATTTTTTCCCCCAATTATAGTACCTGTCTTCATTACATTAAAAGCTTAATAAGAAACGTAGATAAGTATTATGTACCTGGTGATGTTCTCAAGAGGAATCACTTTTCCAGCTTTCACAGACATATTGAAACAATGTGCACCTAATGTTTCCATTGCAAGGACAGGTACATCTGTCCAACCTGTGCAAGTAAATTAGTTTATTAGCCCTCTGGTTGGCAGAAATTGATTCCATTTGAACAGAAAATTCTCACCTGCATTCTCCAGGCCCTGTAAAATGCCAAGAAGCAAACCACCTCCTCCAACTGGTACAATTACAATGCTTGGTTTTTCATTTAACTGTTCCTGAATTTCAGATATAATTGTTGAATGGCCTTCCCTATTGAATAGCGAATAATTTATTTTTATTCTTTTGATTATTTAGATTAGTAAATGCATGGAGCAGGTTCCTTACCAAATATCAGGATGATCATAAGCATCAATTAAAGCATTACCAGGTTTCTTACTCTCTTGAATTGCTTCTTCTAAAGCTTTGTTGTAATTTGCTCCCTTCACCTATTACATTAGCATTATATATTACCCCAAGTAGTAGAATACAGAAGAATGGATTTTGTTTTAAAGTTCACTCACAATTACTTGTGATCCTTGTGATTTCATTAGCGCAATTGATCTTTGGGAAGTTGTTTCAGGAACAAACACTGTGGCTGAAACATTCAGCAGCTTTGCAGCATGAGCTACAGCAATTCCAGCATTACCTCCAGAACATCCAATGAGTGTTTTACATCCGTTTTCAACACACTAAAAACCGTAGTTGGGTTTACACACAAGTCATAGCTGTGGAGCTTAATTTCAAACAATAATCAACATTGAATGAGAATTACCTTTGCGGAAAGATTACCAATGCCTCGTATTTTGAAAGATCCAGATACTTGGCTGGATTCCATTTTCAAGTAAACATTATGTTCTAAAAATGAACTGAAATAGTCACTTTTTATCAAGGGGGTTTGCACATGGAGTTCACGCATTTCTCCTATAAATAGATGTAATAGGGCAATCGTGTGGGAGGACAACTGGGCCACTTACCACACTTGGATGTAATGAACTAAATTATCGGTTACTAAGTAAGTCTACGGTATTATCAGCACATAATCCGAACGACCAAGGTCGTAAGTACAAGATTATGACAGGCTCTACTCGTGTATTATTTTCTCATTATCATTAGATGAATGGGTCGAGCGTAGCATTTATTTGGGATATTTTTTATGAAGTTGTAAAAAGGAATTAACGGTTCAAAATAGGTTAACATTGCACTGTGGAAAATCGATGTTCTCAGCAAACACGCTAATAGTGTGTGTACTGTGACGTACTGATGCGTCTTGTGTTATTAATAATACTTGATAATGACAATAATGCACGTGGAATAAGTGAAATTTTAATCAAAGTATATAATACTCTCTGGTATGTACAAATACGCTCTGCGCTTTGTAGTTGCCTTCGCTACGCTATTCCTCCGATTTTTGTTCCGGGCAGCAAAATTATCTCATTCCACCAAACTCGAAGATGGATAGTTGATGAACATTACTTCTTTTGGACGAATGAAGTGAAATAATCATGGGAGACAACGGTGTTGATTTATTTAGAGATACTCCAGTTCGTTTATTGGGTACCTACCTATGGTTTATTTACAATCAATAGTTTTTCATAGGTGTGCAGTGCGCGTTAATAATTACATATGCAACTTTCAGGATATGCCAATGAAGTGGGAGAAGCATTTCGTTCACTCGTTCATGTTAACTGGGTACGTCTTACTTACGGAATATCCAGTGCTTATGTTCTTGCAGACACCTATGACAAAGCAAGCAAAGCTAGTGCGGTATGTTTTTACCTTTGTAATTCATTGAATCTTAGGGAAACAAAGAGCCCAATAATATATCATAGACCTATGATTTTTCAGGTTCCTTACAAAACGGAAGCCAATCGCAACACAGCAGTGATGTCAGTTGCAGCTGATACACTAATTTGGCAGGCATTTGCATCTGTAATTGTTCCTGGTTACACCATAAATAGAGTTTGTGCTTGTTCTAATTATGCACTTGCACGAATGACTAAAATGCCGTCGATTACCCGAAAGTGGATCACTACAGCTATTGGTTTATCATGTATACCAATTATATTTAGACCTATAGATCATATGGTTGATTATATAATGGACAATTCAATTAGAATAATTTTGCCTGCACCTCAATCAAGAGAGGACTAAGGTGTAATAGGAAATGTAGTCAGTGGAGAGGAAAGAAAAGTAGTACAAGCTAGTCAAGGATGGGAAAAGTGCCCTTAGGAATGTACTCACAAGAAGTATTTAAATTAATATTCATTTATGCTTTTTATAAGAACAGTGTATTGATTAAGAATATATTGAAGAGGAATTTATTCCATGTCAACAGGTGTAAATGATAATTTATCTGTACATGATGTGAAAAGCTAATGTGTAATGAATATTGGGTACTTCCATTTTAAAAGAGCAACTCGTCAGAAAAGATTACTCATCATTCATTGCAATGATAAAAATGTTTTACAGTGTTGTTCAGGGAAGACTTGGATCAACATCATATTGTGTTCATTAATATTTATTCTGCTCAATGTTGATTATGGAACATGTACTTGTTGCCTTTGACTTTGTTGAAATAAATGCTATTATTTTTATTATTATATTTATATATTTCACATTCCATATGTTTTGTATGTGAACATTTGTCCCTCCTATTTTTCCGTACCTAACCATTTTTTATCGTCAGTGTCAGTCAGTATTCTGGTTGTGGTATACACAGTATACATCGAGTGTGAATTATATGTGAATGTTTTAATTAACATTGCGACTGTTTATATTCCGTGGCAGTTCGATGCGTGAATCGAGCACACAGCAGATTGGTTCTTTGACAGTGGGTGGGGGAAAGACAAGAGTACTTTGGAGGGGATAGAGACGTCAAAAGATTGAGGGGAAAGGCGATGCGTGTTCGGAGACGTGGGGGGGCGGTGGGTGTGAGAGGGCTGGGCTGTGAATTTTTATGACGTGCTCATTTTATTTCTAGACAATTGGAAAAGAAACAATTGTCATATAACTCCAATGCAATTACATATCACGTTGATATTGTGTGCCAAAGAAATTTGATGGTGATGCGAATTGCTGTCTAGCACTATTCCAATTTGTCAAATCGAGCAACATACTTTAGTGAACACTACATTATCTTACGTCAAAAGTAACCAATTGCATTCTGGAAACGTTACGAGGTAAGTGGTCACATATTTTACTCACCGTTAATGAATATGCATGTTCGTGTATACGTGAAGATTGTGGTATATTTTAAGCTGTTTTTAGTGTTAACTTTGTTGGTGACGTAACTACTTGGCTGAATGCCTTGTCGCGCTAGAGTGCTAGAGCTACTTAAACGAATTTGTTCCATAACCTCAATTAACCTCTGCGCTGTTTGTTTTCACGTCGCGCTACGTAGTCAGATCCATCTGCTAGAAGGAAGTTTACAGAATATGTGATTTTTATTTCGTGTACGTGTGAATTGCGGAGATTATTTTATAAAATAACTGTTTTATGTATGAAAATGAAAGAATGTTAATAAGAAGTGAATGGTAAATAGTTATTTGTAAGTTTATGTAACAAAAGTAGTAATTGATATTATATTTTCCGCATCAGTGTCGGTAAAATTCTGCCTAAATTCAAGTTTGTTGCAGAATTTGATGACACTTACTAGTGACCGACTAATACTTAGATCAAGGATGTGATTCTGCAATGGCCACATATCAAGATCAACAAGATCGTCAAGATGATGATTCAGGATCTGAAGCTAGTAGTGTTCTTCATAATGGATCAGTCATCTCAACTGTTCCAGATCGCCATGGGTTCCTTGGTGGCTCTCAATATACTCCAGAACCGTAAGATTCATAAATTCATTATTATTATTATTATTATTATTATTATTATTATTATTATTATTATTATTATTATTATTATTTGAATAAGGGGTTTTGCTAAAGTTAAAAAGGTGGCAAAAATACCAGTGCGCCTGTCTATTTTAGTTTTGCAAGAAGCCCTGCTGATAATGGCAGTTTGAGTAATATTTATCTTGAATACATTTGTGGATTGTAATTTGGTGGATTGCATGGTAAAATTTCAAATAATTGTATGCATAATAAAAATAATTTATAACTGCCTGCAGCAGCAGAAATAGCAGTTTCCTGTTCATGGCAATATTTTTACACTGGTTTTAGAAGAGTAGTCTCAATTAATTCATATGAAGAACAGCATCCTGGAGACCAGAGTAGTGGTTTACAACTGGTAGTTTTTGCTAACATGGATCTTGTTCTTGTTTGTTAAACCCTGTTATTTAATAAAGTTCTAAAATTTTGATGTTGGTAAACCTGTTTAGTGTATGATAGTGCTTAAAGTCAGTTTGTGAAGCAAAAGAAGCTAAAATTCAAATGACCTGAGAGATTACTGCATGTGCTTAGATAACTTTTACTAGCATGTGTGCTTTGTAGTTAATAGTATAAAATTGAAAAAAAATTTAAACTTAATTAAATTCATTTTGAAGCATTTAATTGGACTTTCTTCAGATTATGGATGATAATGATAATAGTGAAGTGAATCAACCATTCCTTCTTTCAAATACTTAAAATTTTTACAATATTATTAATTTTGTTTTTAAACTATTTACTATATATTATGGCCTCATATTAGGCATACCATTGAAGTGAATATAAATAATTTCTATTTATAATATTTTCTCTCTCTCTATTTATAATTAATGGAGTGGCTAGCTCTGGTTTTAATTTCATTTTCTGGGTGTCAGCATACGTACACTTCTCATGATTCTATCTTGTTTAGCACGCCTGAAAATACTGCTTGTATGAGTATTTGGGTAGTGAACAATTTAATTAGTGTTAGGTAATCTTTGTTGCTAATAAATTAAACAATCTACAAATTTTGCTTACGACTTGCCAGCGACATCTGTGACATGATTTATTCATTTCAAATTCCTCCTTAATTAATTTTGTTCAACAATGAAATTTTCTGTTCCTCTATTGATGGCCATCAAATTCCTACCAACAAACTACGTATAATAATTCTTTCTAATCTTAATGTTAACTTAATATTAAAACATGACTTGGCCTTCTTATAATATTTTTATTAATGTCTGTCACTTATTGCGTAAACTTCCCTTTTGCAGAATGTACAGCAATCTTGGCATTGTTAATGACGTCACCGACTATTCCAATTCCATGTGGAGCTGTTCTTATGTCCACACTGAACTTCTACTAATATAATTTCTATTCTTATTCCACGAATCCTACTAATTGACAATAATTTGACTTGAGATTTCATGACTTGTTTAATTCTAGTAGTTTGTGATTTTACTTTCGCTCTCTTTCTTCTGTCCACTAGTACATTATTCATATTTCTTGTGTATTGTCAGCCTTTATACAAATTCTTTTGGAAAATTTGGACTTTCCAATTTGTTTTATATTCTTACTAAGAAATGTTGTACAACCATATTTAATATATTAAGGGCTTTCGCTTGGACAAACAGATTTTGAACTCTCTTCTCGACTAAATTTCGTGGTAATTTTTTTAAACAAAGGGTAGCGGACCCTATGTGTCATCACTTGCCCTTATTCTGTATGGTATTGAGAGCTTCTTCTTCATTTTATAGATTAGTCTGGGCTGCCTCTTCTAGAAACCATCTTCTTCTTGGGCAACTGATGCTCCTTTGGCCCGTTGGTTTGTAGTCCCTTGCCAGTTGAGGAATTTGGCTTCTACTCTTTCGCTCCAGATGACTGCACCAGTTAATTTTAGTGTCTTGATCTTCTTCTCGAGATTACATATCTCTAACTATTTACGTATTTCTTCTCTCCTAATTTTGTCATCTAGAGTACACTCTTTTAGAGCTCTAAGTAATCTCATTTCTGCAGCTCTCACTCTTTTTATTTCTCTTTTCAAGAGGGTCCAGGTGTCACTTCCATATAACACGATTGTTGCTGCCATTGTCTTATAGAACTTGCTTCTGTTTTTTTTTTCTTGTTTTATGTTTCAGAATTTTATGAATTGTCCCACAAATATGTTTAAACCTGTTTAATTTGTTTGTGACATCATCGTCAAATACAAAACATACTTCACATTCCAAGTAATTAAAACTGGACACTTGCTCTACAGTCTTCCCATTCAATACTATTCTTAATCTGACAAGAATATTTGCATGAAAAGTCATTACTTTAGTTTTATTAGTAGATATTTTAAAGTTATAATCTTCACATTTGTTTTGCAATATATACATTCCTCTTTATAGCATGTCTTCAGTTTGCTGAATCATTACCACATCATCTGAATATTCAAGGAGGTTGAGTTTCATTTGGGAAAGGTTTATTTAAATTCCCAAGTTAAAAACTTCTCTCCATTGTGAAAAATGTGAAAAATGTCAACAATTTTGGGGAAATACATCCCTGTCTAACACCTTTATTTGTTTTAATTTATTCTGTCAACCTTTTGTTTGTACTGTTGTGCCTTGGTACAGATTTTTGGTAACATTAATAAGATAGAAAGGTCAAACTCTTCTAATAAGTTTGTTTCATAACTTCTCCCTATTTATGCTGTTAAAAGCTTTTCATAATCAATAAATGCCTTCTAAGTTTCCAAGTTAAATTTACATCGTATTTCTACATCTGTTTGATAGTAAATATGGCATCTATCGTGCCTCGACCCTTCCTAAATCCAATTTGATCTTTGCCTAATTGCAATCTGTAAATATTTTCAGCCTTTGATTAAGTATTCTAGCATATTTTCTCAATCTTCACTATCTTCTGACTGTCTTTGGGTTTTAATTAGATTTTTGTTGTCCATTTTTATTTTAGACCAAAAATCAAAGTGTTACTAAAAAGCTAAAATTTGGATTTGGAATTTTATTTGAAATGTATGAAAGTTTCTGAAGCATTACTACTCTCTCAACATTTGAGGAGCATGTTTCCTTTTATTCTGGAATCTATTTAAATATAAAACCGAAATTCTTATAAGCTAAATTACAATTTTTCTAATTTTTGGGATTAGGTAAAAACAATTACTAAAGTAAATTACATTTTTTTTAACTTTTACTATTTTAGTAAACACTAGTTGATGTAGGTTATACTAATTATGTACCAGATATAAACTAACTTACTTTCATTAACTATGTCATTCCTCCTTAATATCCATTTGTGATTTTTGCAAAAAAGTAGCATTTTGCAAAGAAGCCATGTTGAGTAGAAGAATGGAGAAGGGGACAAACTGGTAGATATTTGAATAAGAAAGGAAAAAAATATATCTAAGATGAAATTTTCTTTATATCTTGCCCAAAATTCTTTGTTTTTTCTTTTATTTTATGCAGTAAATTGTTATAAGTGCTAGAAAATTGAATACTTTCTACTTTGTGTTCATTGTGACATTTATGTGTCAAAATGCTAATTTTGTGTTCTGAATCCAAAGTATAGGTTTTTTGAACTCTTTTAGTTTTCAATCGTAAAATATATGATTGTCTAAAATAAAACTGGACAAAGAAATCTAATTCTTGCATATATCTTATACACGCTATCCAATAAGCTGAAGCCTCTATAATTCTCATAGTTTTCTCTGTTTACTTTTTGAAATAATAGAATTAAATTCAACTTTAAC